CAAGAAAAGAGAGCTCTATTGCAAATTTGCAGTTTTATTATTCTTCCATTTCAGGATCTGTTCATTCATTCAGCAGATATTTGTTCATACCAATTATGTGCAGGATGCTGTGGGAGATATGCTTAAAGGAGCTTATGGTGCAGGAAGGGTCTTAAGAGATATTATACAAGTAATTTTAGTACTGAAGAAATATAAGGCATTAAGACAGATATAGATGAAATGCTTTGTGAGAATGTTCATCTTAGAGCAGCACTATCCAATAGAAATAGAATGTGAGCCACATGTAATTTAAAGTTTTCTGGTAGCTACATTTAAAAAAAAAAAGCTGGGCTCGGTGACTCAGCCTGTAATCCCAGCACTTTGGGAGGCTGAGACAAGTGGATTGCCTGAGCCCGCGGGTTCGAGACCTGCCTGGGCAGCTTGGTGAGACCTTGTCTCTACAATAAATCAAAATTAGCCGGATGTGGTAGGGCATGCCTGTAGTTCTGGCTACTTGGAAGCCTGAGGCTGGAAAGATCGCCAGAGCCCAGCAGTGCGAGGCTGTGGTGGCCAGGAGCGTGCCACTGCAGTTCAATCTGGGCGATAGAGTAAGACTCCAACTAAACAAAAAACAAAAACAAAAACAAATGAATTAACTTTAATAATTTTTTTTTTTACTTAACCCATTGTATACAAAATATTATTCCAACATGTGGCACTAAGCACATGTTCAGTGCATAACCTCATGTGGCTGGTGGCTTAAGCAGTTTAAGAAACATTTCATAGAGGGGATATCATTGGAGCCATGCTGTGAAGAATTTTGTATGAGGAGTAAAAGGGAAAAGCCATTCCAGGTAGAGAGAGTGACTTAGTGAGCAAAGACAGAAAGCACACTTTGTGTGTAAGTAAACTATTTTGGTAGAAGCACATATGATGTGGAAGGTATGTTGTGGGAAAGAATGGAAGATAGGCTGGCAAGCTTCCATTGACAGGAGGAAATCTAATTGCTGCCAGCAGCAGGGAACTTTAAAGAATTTTAAACAGGAAATGACTTGATTAGAGCTTTAGGAAGATGAGTCTTACAGCAAAGACATGAAGGAGGCTAGAGATAATGAGTGACTGAAAGAGTGAGACTAGGGAAAGATTATGGATGGGAGGTCTATTGTAGAAATAGTAACAGTTTCGTTTCTCCTTTTTCTGCTGCCTTCCTCCAAACTGCTGGGTGTTGTGTAACCCATTTCCTGTTGAAAATTGGTCTAGCTGCTTCAAAATCCATGTTATATAAGTCAAAAGTTATGTAAGCATTAGCCATCAGGACATTTAGCTATGGATTTTGTTTGTTGTAAATTGTTTTCTTGTGTGTATAATTAAAAGTCTTTGAAACAGATAGATAATGGATGCAGATTTTTTAAGGCATGCATTCGGTCTTACTGTATCATGATGGTTCTTGATCTCTTAAGAACCCTTGCAGTAATCTCCAGCTTAAAACAGCTGGCCCCAAACTAGGAAGACTACTGTTTATTTTGTTAAATAAGGCATTTGGGAGGACCCAATGAGTAGTCTGGATTCTTTAGAGAAGTATGATTTAATTTCTGATGCTTGTGAAGGAGAGAAGTAACAGGGATACTTAATTTTTTATTTTTTTATTTTTTTTGAGTCAGCGTCTCATTCTCGCCCAGGCTGGAGTGCAGTGACTCGCTCATGGCCACCCCAGCGTTGACCTACTGGGCTCAGGCAATCCTTCCGCCTCAGCCTTCCAAGTAGCTGGAGCTATAGGCGTATACTACCACACCCAGCTAATTTTTTGATATATTGTTAGAGACGAGGTCTCACCAGGTTGACCAGGCTGGCCTTGAACCCCTGGGTTCAGGCAGTCCTCTGACCTCGACCTCCCAAAGTGCTGGGATTATAGGCTTGAGTCCCTGCTTCTGGCCGGAGATACTTAATTTCAAGGCCTGGTAGAGCCAAAGAATTTTGTGGCTTTTTTTTTTTTTTTTTTTTTAGCAATTGTCGATTCTTTATATTTCTCTACTACTCCATTATAATAATACTGCCTGGGATAGCTTAGCTCTGAATTGGCTTTGGCCAGCACTTTATTATTTGGAATGTTTCATAGGTAGAGTTGCATAAGTGGGCCTCAGACTTTCAACTTTGAATTAGTCTGCAGATTGGAAATTTTCTAAAGTTCATTGAATCATTGAAAGTTGGCTTCTCCCTGCTATGCCTGGTACTTTTAGGAACAGTGAAGTGGGATTATTTAATGAGGGAGATACTGTCTTGATCTCAAAGACTATGGACAAGAAGGACATACTGAGACAGTAGAGTCATCCCTTGGTGTCTGCGGAGTAATTGGTTCCAGGACCCATGGATAACAAAATCCAAAGATGCTTGGTTTTTTGTTTTTGTTTTTCCCTTGTAACATTTTCCACCACAGTTAGTTGAATCTGTGGATGTGGAACCTGTGGATATGGATGGATAATTTTAAGATGATAGAGTATTTTTGGTGTATTAGAGTAGGTTGTGTTGTGGTAACAGACACCCTAAATATGTCAATAGCTAAACCCAACAAAAGTTTATTTCTCATCCTGCACGTGCAATGCAGGCCTGCAGGATTCTGCATTGTGTAGTCATCCAGGGACTTGGGCTGACAAAAAATGCACCATTGCATTTGTGTGGCTGCACCATCTAGAATACATAGTCTTCTAGGTGGCTGCTGTAAGAAAAGGGAGCCTGGGGAACCACACAGAATTTTCACAGTAGTAACCTGGAAACAGTTTCATTTCTGCTTATGTTTCGTTGGACAGAACTATCATATAGCCCCTCCTAACTGCAGGGAGATAGAGAGGAGTAAATAGAATATTTCATGAGGGTTACTATCTCTACCTTAGTTTCATTCTAGTATTGTGAGGAAAGATATCAGATGGATCAAGGTGAGACTTGCTTCATAATTGTAGGCTTATAATTAGTGAACCTTATATAGGATGCAACTCTGAATATGATGTAGCTAATAAGCAGTAGGAAGAAAATCATAGTTCTGAACTGGATAATCAGTTTTTTTCTGAACTGCCTAAATTTTGAGTGTATTTAGATCATTGTTTTCTGTCTGATAAGACATGTTTATGTGATGGGACTCTGTGTGTAGACTTTTCTCTTGAAAATACAGAAATGACTTGAGGCAACGCCATTTTGTGATTAGAATTTATGCTTTCTTTGCTATTTTTAAATTATCAACCATGTTTAGAACCTTAAATTGTGATACCATGCGTATAGTAATGAAATAATTTGTTTTTAAAATACTGACATTCCTGCTGTTCTTTAAAGTAGAATTTCAGTTTCTTGATACCTTAAAATATTAGCATTATTTTTTACCCAATGCCACGGATAGATATAATGAAATTTAAAATAACAGTACATAAAACAAACTTTGAGTTTAGTAAACAACTTTTTGGGTGTGTATTACTCCAAATTACTGTACTCTATAATGATGATTATTGTAGTGGAGGATTGACTCAGGTGACGTGAATAAGAGATAGTTACTGATGGGTATATGTAAAGAATTTGATAAATTATTAAGAAAGGTGGTAGTGTTCTTGTTTTCCAGTAAGGAAACTGAAGCTGTCAGGTTGTGTGATTTAACCAAGGTTATAGAGCCCAAGTCTGCTTGTCACTAGTTTATGAGGGGGACCTAAAAAATAAACGAAATTATCTTTTGGAGGACTGGCCACTCGTAGTACAGGTATCCCCTGCTAGGTAAGTGTTCTCAGAACCCATTGGCATCAATGTACCAGCTAGCGTTGTTGTGAGAAGCAGCATTGAGCCTCACTGAATTTTTTAGGGAGATTCTTTCAATGTGTCTGTCCATTTCATGATGGGTGATTTACAAGTGTACCTATCCATGCCATGCGGGGTGTTTGCAGTTTTTGACCGAAAATGACTTGACCCCTGTGCCCCATCCTAATACCCAATCTTGCCCTGAACAACTTTTTTCCTTGATGAAAAAAAATCCCTCAAAGGGAAATGTTTTGCTGATGTGGAAGAGGTGAAGCAAAAAATGGCAGATGCACTAAAACACATCCAAACTGACAAATTTAAAAACTGTTTTGAGCAGTGGAAAAAGCATCACAATGGGTGTATTATATCATATGGAGAGTACTTTGAAGGTAACTCAAGTATAAACAAGTAAGAATAAGTATACAATTTTAAAAAATAAATTCTGGGATTTTTTGGGTCCCCTCCATTTCATGTTCTTCCTCTGCAGTGTATCCTTGTAACAAAGTTAGGAAATTGCAGAAGATATGATAATGATGGCTTCAATTTTTTAGGAGGCTACTGCTTGATAGGCACAGTCATACAGATCATTTAAAATAATATCTTTTGATTCAAGAATGAAGCAGTCATCATACTTAAAGTATTTTTCCCTATACTTTTGGAAGAAACAGGTTTGGTCAAACTAGATGATTCTTTACAGAACAATGAAGAGAGGACTTACTATATTACAGAGAGAGTTAGACTAAGGTTTGTTTTTTAAAAAGGCTATTTTTGAGAGAAGTAAAAGACGTAGTTAGATGATCTTAAATAGTTATTAAGTAGTCTCTGTTTTGGGGAGGTGAATTGGCATAATGGAAGAAGAAAAAACCTCTAGAGGCAGATTGACTAGTTTGAGTTCTGACTCTACCATCTGCTTGCAGTGTTGTTCTGGACATAATCACATGCCTTCTCTGAACCACTCCTAAGAAGGGAAAACAGGTTGCTGTAAAGGTAAACTCCACAGGACTGTTTGGAAAGCTGTAAACTCCACAGGACTGTTTGGAAAGTTAATTGACCAAAATAATAAAAAGGTCTTGATGAAGTACTTAACCCTGTAGGTGCTCAAAAGTATTTGATGGCACTTGGAACTAGATGTTTCACATTTAGTATGCTTCTTTTCAGGTGGGTTAGAAGAAGATTCACACTTATGTTTCCTGGGCCCTGAAGCCTAACATTTGCTTTCTCTTTTTTTTTTTCTCTTGCTCTTGTTCTAGGGAATGACAATGGATAAAAGTGAGCTGGTACAGAAAGCCAAACTTGCTGAGCAGGCTGAGCGCTATGATGATATGGCTGCAGCCATGAAGGCAGTCACGGAACAGGGGCATGAACTCTCCAATGAAGAGAGAAATCTGCTCTCGGTCGCCTACAAGAATGTAGTAGGTGCTCGCCGTTCTTCCTGGCGTGTCATTTCCAGCATTGAACAGAAAACAGAAAGGAATGAGAAGAAGCAGCAGATGGGCAAAGAGTACCGTGAGAAGATTGAGGCAGAGCTGCAGGACATCTGCAACGATGTTCTGGTAAGAGGGCAGTGCTTTGTTTTAAACAATGAGTTCTATATAGTGTTAATTTAATGTACAAAGGCATACTCTGAACCCGTTATGAGAGAGAGGTGTCTGAATATAGTGGAAAACAGCAAGTCATTTGCATCTAATTTTTAAGCATATAACGTGATTTTTCTCACCTTTTGCTTGATCAGAGGTTGTTAATCACTTCTGGAGTATTTTCCTCTTAACAGAAAGACTAAAAAAATAGGAACATTTATTCGACATCCCCCCATCTTTTCTTTTAAAAATGAGGCCAGATAGGATTTTAATAGATGAAGCCACCGATAGGCTATTGAGTATATTAGTCTAAGTAGTGATGTCATTTCTGGTAGGGGGGACAAGATCAAAAACCTGTGCTGCCTTTCAGCCTCTCCCCTTCAGACTGTACAGTCTTGTTTTTGTCTGAAAGGTAGGCATATCCATCAAGTTCAGCATGCATTTGAAAGGCAAATCAGAAGTGTTTGGTGATCTCCTCTCCTGTGTTCTACATAAGTCTTAGTCAGATGATTGATTCCCTTTGGCCATATTTGGGGTTGAATGGGAGGGGTACATATCCTAAAGCAAATCAAGGTCATATTGTCTTTCTCACATCCTGAGCCCACTGGGAACTTTTTTCTTCCAGGTGAAATCAGGTAAAAATGAACGGTGAGGGCCTCTTTGAAGGGAAAAGGAATTCACACTTTTGGATCTACCTCCTCCCCTGCTGGCTGTCTTTCCAAATTTCTGCCCATGATACCTTTCTTTTGAAAACCAGTATCCCCCCCCAAAAAAAAGAAAGAAAGAAAACCAATACAAAGCTTGCCAGCCACCAGGCAGTACTCCTCATCCCTAACCCATAGGAGTTAAGCCTTGTCTGTCTGCAAAGAATATTAAAATAACTACTGCCCCTTGCATCTTCTCACTTGGATTGATTGAGTCCCCTTATAACTAAGCTTTGTGTTGAGCTTTTATTTTATTAGACTCATAGTGTAAAAAGTGTCATGGCTAAATTGTTGCCGGTTGATAATTTGGGGGTTTGTTAATGGTGCACTAATTCCTGAATGTTAGGTACATCTGGTACTCAGATGAAGTATGGCATGCATTCCAAGGGCAAGAAAGTTCCATAATTCCTGAAATGTAGACCAGCTTTTAAGAGCATCTGAAAGAATGTGAAGAAGAGCATGGTACTTACTGCCTCTTAACCAGTTTTTCAGGATGACACATTCTAAAACAACTCTTCGAAAATATTGCTCTGTATACGAAGCTTGGACTCCTTCAGAACTACTTTTGTTGTAAGCATAAATGTTTAAAGGAATTTATTATTAATAGTATTAGCTACTCTTTGAGTGCTAACTACATGCCAGGCAACATATTAAGTGCTTTTATTTACATTAGCTCATTTATCCTCATAACTATCCTAGTAGGTGGCTATCATGAACTCCCATTGTATAGCCAAGGAAACTGAGGCTCAGGGTGGTTAGGTAATTTTGTCCAGGGTCATATGGATACAGATAAGTGGTAGAAGAGGGATTTCTACCCAGATTGAATTGATTCTGACCGTAGTTCTTGACAGTTTTGTTCTATTATCACCTTTTTTTCCCAAAATGGAAAGTTTTTTCCCCTTGAATTATAGAAGTAATACAAGTTTATGAGCTTATAAAGGGGTGGAAGGGGTCAGGGCAGAAGATTATAAATAAGAAAGTGGAAAAAAAATCACTTCTATTACCCAGAGAACCATTATTAACATAGTCCCTCCAGGCTTTTCCCTATGTATTTGTGTGCATGTACACATACATATTTTAATATTAAAATAGGATTCTTGTGGTATTTATAATCTGCTTTTTTTCACTCAGATTTCTTTTGAGCACCTTTCTGTGTTATCTGTGTAATTCTGCATCATTTTTAAGGCCTACAAAGCATTTAATTGTATGGCTCTTTTAATTAACCCCTTATAATGGTGAAAGTGATTTTTAACAGAAAAATACAGGCATCTGCTGTTATGACCTGGGCTAAACAACATTTAGAAACTTCGATGAAAAATAGAGTTTATTAAAATCTTTGAGAAAATTATTTAGAAACAGTAGTGTGCATCTTGAATCTCAAACATCTTGTGAATAATTTTAAAGTCTTAACAATGTAAATCATTTTTTAGGAGCTGTTGGACAAATATCTTATTCCCAATGCGACACAACCAGAAAGTAAGGTGTTCTACTTGAAAATGAAAGGAGATTATTTCAGGTATCTTTCTGAGGTGGCTTCTGGAGACAATAAACAAAGTAAGTAATATTTTTAAAAAGAAATTTGACCAGTAACAGAAGCAGTCTTCTTTCATAGAGACAACAGTTTTTGTTTTGTCTGTTCACCATAGACACCAACATCACAGCACTCAGAATCTCTTTATCACTCAGCATTGTGATAAAGGAAGTCATGTGATTAACAAATGAAAATGTGTCTATGGAGCAGATATGGAAGGCATTAAAAGTCTGGTGCATAGTGCATATAAAGAGATCTTTATCTTGGGAATTATTTGGTTGCTCTCTCTTTAGAGGTGAAACTTTAAAATATTTGGTGGTATAAAACTACCAGAGTGATGCATTTCTCTTAACACATGTATTATTATGATGGTAATCATGGCCACACATTAAGTGCCCACTATATGCCAAGTACTTTGGAGTCTCATTTATTCCCCACACAACATTGTAAGTTTAGGTGGCAATCTGTCCGTTTTTCAGATAAAGAAACCAAAGTTTACAAGAGGTGTTTACTTGCCCACAGACTTAGTGAATAAGAGTTGAGAATTCAAGTTTGGACCTATTGACTGTAAAGCCCATGATCATTCCACTAGAGCATATTGTTTTCTATATTCTATCTTGTTAAAAGTTATGCCTGTATTTCTTAACTGCTTTAGTAACTTTGCCATAATTGTCTTTGTTTACCCCTCCAAAGCATTGTATAATATTATAATAGTACTTGGCTTAGAATAAATATTTAGCCAATGTATAATTGAATGGTAGAGGCATTGATACTTCATTTGATAGATCATTTGCTCCTTCTCAGTTTGGTAAAATAATTTGATAGTGGTCCCAATGTGTCTTGCCACCTGTGAAATAATCCAGCCTTTAATATTTTTCATCGTATAGCCACTGTATCGAACTCCCAGCAGGCTTACCAGGAAGCATTTGAAATTAGCAAGAAAGAAATGCAGCCTACACACCCAATTCGACTTGGCCTGGCACTTAACTTCTCAGTCTTTTACTATGAGATTCTAAACTCTCCTGAAAAGGCCTGCAGCCTGGCAAAAACGGTGAGAAAGACTCTCTGTGGCTTGTGATTGTAGTAAATCAGTGGTAATGCTTTCTATTTCTGAACATACGGAGGGAACCCCAAAATCCCTGAATTATCTTTTGGAGGGTGGGCCCCTTGTAGAAAACTTGGAATTTGTTCCTCCAGATCAAATGGTTAACCAACTTTTATCTGGAAGTTTGGAGAAGGTTGTGTCATGATTTATGGAAGAAACATCCCAAGTTGTAGCAAACAGGTGACTGGTTCTTCATGACAATGCACCTGCCCATACCATGCTGAGTGGTCAGCAATTTGTGACCAAAAATGGCATGACCCTTGTGTTCTAGCCTCCCCATTCACCCAATCTTGCCCTGAGCAACTTGTTTGTTTCTCTGTGAAAAAAGTCCTCAAAGAGAAAACGTTTTGCTGATGTAGAAGAGGTGAAACAAAAAATGGCAGAAGCACTACTAACAGGCATCCAAATTGACGAGTTCAGAAACTGTTTTGAGCAGTGGAAAAAGTATCTTGTTAGGTGTATTACATCAAATGGAGAGTACTTTTTAAGGTGACTGAAGTTTAAACATGTAAGAATAAATATACAGTTTTTTATAAATAAATTCCAGGGCTTTTTGAGTCCCCCTCATACTCATTGTCTTGGACTTTTCTGAAAGATTTTCTGGGGCTAGGAGTATATCCTGTATCCCTTTTGAAATAAATGTGGACCCACTACTTTTTGATTCTTGATATCTCCTGCTGATTTTTGTTATGTTTAATTACTGTTTTATTGGGGGTAGTTGTAGAAAGTTCCAGGTGAACATAGTTTGATGTTTCTTATCAAGCTTTGGGCCTTGCTTAATATGTTGTCATCCTTATACCAAGATTTGAGGTGTTTACTTGCCCACAGTCTTAGTGAATAAGAGTAGAGAATTCAAGTTTGGACCTATTGACTGTAAAGCCTTGATCATTCTCTATGTGCTAGATTACCTCCTATCATCTTCTTTTGGCCTTTTCTACATATTTTTGTATTCTTTCAACATGCACACAGTAATTGAAATTTTTTTTTTATTTGGAAAAGGTGTCTTAAGTGAATTCTGAAAGTTTCATCACTTAAATTAGATTTAGTGATGTTTCACTGTTCTCCCGTTATCCTTTGTATCCATACCTTTTGAATTTTAGTTTTAAAAAATTAATAATTCTAAATAGAGTATTGCCAGAAATGTCTTTGGTAATGTATCAGCCTGTGAATTTGCCTGGGATGACTGTGCTAGGGTTAACAATAATACTGTTTGCTTATTAGGTACAGCAAAGTTCTTATCTAGTAATTTCTGTCATCATTGGTTGGTGCTTTATAAACATGCATTATATGTTTGCTGAAATAACTGGCAAACGAGGTAATAATAGCCAGGTTCCCCCAAAAGTACTGTACAAGACAAGAAATGATATTCACTTAGCAGAAGAAAAAGTTGGCTCCAGAGAACTTGTGAATTCTTTGCTAAGGGCTCTTTGTTTTAGGCATTTGATGAGGCGATTGCTGAATTGGATACGCTGAATGAAGAATCTTATAAAGACAGCACCCTGATCATGCAGTTACTTAGGGACAATCTCACTGTAAGTGTCACTTCTAGAGGATTTATAGTCTTTTTCCTATTCACCTGTTTATTAATTTTCCAAAATTCAAGGAGAGATTTGTGCCCTGTTAAATATAGTTAAAATTTTTAATTGTTAATTGGTTATAATTGACTGCTATGGTTTTGGCCTTTGCAGTCATCACTGTCTACAGTAATATAGGAAGAATTTTAAACAGTTGAACTAAGATTATACAGTTTGGGCTGCCCACCTAGGTAAGTTTTTGTAGCCATACTTTGGTTATAGCTTTTTTTTTTTTCTCTTGCAGCTGTGGACGTCAGAAAACCAGGGAGATGAAGGAGATGCTGGGGAGGGAGAGAACTAATGTCTGTCGTGCTTTGTGATCTGTTCAGTGTCACTCTGTACCCTCTACATATATCCCTTTGTGCGATAAAAAAGGAAAAAAAAAGAATCGTACATCGACTTTCGATTTTTCACAGCCTCAGCCTAGCAAAAATGGTTCATAGGATAAACAGCTGGTATTTGTACCTAAAACTCAGATCGGTCACATAAATGCCACGGCATTCTGAAGTCTTGATTTTGATTAACATTGACAGGATTACTGTGTGTTTAAATTTTTTTTTTTTTTTTAACTGAACACTGTGATTATGGGGTTTTGTAATTTAGCAGAATTCTTACTGGTAGAAAAAATAGACCTGAATTATGTGTAACATTTTGGAAAGTTTAATCTGATATCAAAATAGTCACTGAAATACAATTCCATTGTAAAGTTGTACAGAAAGTTATAGAGATTATATTGTGATGCTGGGACTTGGAGTGAGACACCTATCATTTGGCATTCAAGTTTAATGGTAATTCACAGTAATTCTGCTTGTTCAGAGCTTATATGCACTTGACCAGTTTGGAGTGTTGCCACTCAAAAGTTCATGACCACAAATGTCCACAGTGTCTTCCTCTAAGAAAACTCAAAGCCTGAAATTCTTGTGGCAGATAACTGGCTTATGACACCTTGAAAGTTATAGTGCTTTTCTGACTAACTCCCCTTTCCTACAGCAGTGTGTTTACCAATTTGCAACTTGTGCTTTAATAGTAGAATCTGTTCATTGTTACCACTAAGCTAAAGAAAAAAAAAAAAAGCCGTGTGTTTTATGAATGGCCTTATCTGTTTTCTGGATAATATCTTTAAGAATAATGTTCTGAGTTAGGCACAGTGGTGCTGCCTATAGTCCCAACTACTTGGGAGGCTGAAACAGGAGGATCACTTGAACCCAGTTCAAAGCTGTAGTGCCAGGCTATGAATGCACCTTTGATTAGCCACTGCACTCCAGCCTGAGCAATATAGCAAGACCTTGTCTCTTTAAAAAAAAGAAAGAAAGAAAAAATGATCTGTAGAGATTGCCTTTCACTTGAGGAGTACTCAGTCTTCAGGTTCCTTCTAGCTCGGGGCTTTTAAATTTTGAAATCTAAACATTCTTTCCCACTATCCTTTGTGACTGTTGACTTTGGTTTTCTCTTTTTAAATTTATGTCTTTCTGCTTCCTTACATTTTTTCTTTTTGAATTCTATCTTTATCTGTCTTATGTTCACTTCTTAATGCTATATATGGGCAGGGGTGAGAGACACTGGTGAGCACTTTGGTGAGCAAGCCTTGCTTTAAAGAGTTGAGAAGAGCTTCTGGCACCATAGCTCTGACTTCCTCCGGTTCTCAACATGGTTGTGGCTCTTCAGTCATACCAAGATCTGAATCAAAAAAGTATTTTTAAATATCCATGATTTCTCCCTGTATCGCAGCCGACCCTGATAATGCTTGTTAGTACCTATCACCAGATCTCCCAAGTGTACTCATCCAGCTCAGTTCTCAGATGTGTTTAAACAAGACCCTATAATGCAGGGATGTTGTGAGGACACTGCAGTGGAGAGAATCAAGAATAGCCAGGTCCGTCGGTCTCACAGCATCACCCCTCTACTGTTAACATTCCATGTAGCTATAGAGTTCATCTGTGCCCATCTGCTGAAATGAGAAAAGAAAAACTCATGCACTGATTTAAAACAAACCAAAAAAAGAAAAAAAAAGTCCCTCTCTCCTTTCTAGCTGAACAAAAATGTGCAGTTAATACTTGGCGCTTGAAAATGCAGTAGTGAATGTGGAAACAAGCCTGTCTGTATATCTGGTAGCTCTTTCTTGCTTTGTTTTTCCTTGCCAGTATTCTGCCTAATGTTTGCTTCTGTGATGGTTATATGCCTAGCAAGCACACCCGTGGTTGTGAAAATAGTATAGCAAAAAACAACAAAAAAAGAAAAATCCCCGATTATTGATGTACTAGATTTGTGTATGTCTTTTAAACAGTTCTAGTTTCACCTTACGCAAAATAATCAGGAAAAGTGTAAAAATTCAAAAGTGAAATAAAAAGTTTTGTCAGTTAGTTGCCTGTGAATTGATGTGTCACCACTATCTCTGTCACTACCGTAACTAACTATTCTGATCACACTTATTTTTGGTTCTCTCTAAAAATAAACAAGCAGCTTTATTTCATTGTTTAGAACCAGTTGTCAAGGTGTTGTAAAGGGTAAGACATTACTATTAATTAAACAGCCTCTTTCCACTCATCACTTGATGCCTCTCCACCTTCCACAACAAGCCCTCCAGGTGTGTTAGGTCTTCTTTTGTGGCTTCTAAGATTTGGTGTGGACGAGTAATTTGCATTGTATTCAAGCAAAGGGGGCTCTTTCTCCGGTTTTTAACCCTGAGATATATAACCAAGCTAGTGAGATGTAACCAAGACCATGGTTGCAGAAGACATGGTCATCACCAAGGTTATACTGGTCTCGGTCACCTGTCCTAACACCTTATAATAGGCTGCAGCACTGTTTGCGTGAAATTTGCCCTCCTTCTGAAAACGTCCACACTAACATAAAAAGAGAAAAAAATCAGGATAGAGGAGTCTTTGTAGCCCAAGATTAGAATTGGTTGGTGCTTCCCTGCTGCTGTGAAGCAGGACAGCCAGACAGGCTCCTTCTGCCCTTGGTTTGAGAGCCGAATCCTATCTGCTTTGCAAAGAAACCAGGAGAGTCCCTATGAGAGACAAAGTGAAGTTCTGATCCACAATGAGTGAAGTTTTTAAAGTGGCCCCACCCCATAGATATACATCGAGGCTGCCAGCTCTGCGTGTTTTGTTCAGTTTAGAGCCATCTCAGCCTTGCTCTGCTGTTAGGTCCCTACTGTTCCCATATAGGCTGGGTCACATCACAAGCGACTTGGTGAATCTACCTCGCCTTAACGAGGCCTTCCAGGAAGAGGTCTTGGCAATAATAGCCAATGAAGGAAGGCCTTAGTGGTCTCGATTTCTCACGTGGAACCTTCAGTTCCGTTTCAAAGCCATTTCCGCCCTTGGTGCGGAAGGGTAGGCCCAATCAGGCTGCTTTGAGAAAGGCTCCTTTCAGGAGGCAGGAGAAAATTATCTACGCTTTGAAATAGGGTGTCCGGTTCGGAATTCCGTATGTACGTGAACACGCAAAAAGCACGGTCTCTTTTAGTCCTTGCCAAGAAGGAGTCGTTCCCGTTTTACAGAGAAGGGAAATGGGTCTAGAAAGGCTACGACCTAACCAGGATTAGAACCCCGGCTCGCGCGGTTGCAGTCGTCGGCCTCCTCAGAACTGCAGGGGAGTGCTCAGCTCCGCCCACGTCTCCGCAGCCCTCCCCTAGGCCAGGTTGCGGGCCTCAGGGACGCCCCCACCTGCGACTTCCGGCTCGCTGAGGGCTCCCAGGTGGGGCGCGGGTCCCGGGGCGGGGCGCCTGAGCGCGCCCACGATTGGTGCGCAGGCCCCGGGGGCCGTAAAGAGCAGGGGCGGGCCGGCAGCCGGGAGGGAGAGCCCCAGCGCCGCCCTTGCGCCTCCCTTCCGAGGCCCCCGCTCGGGTGAGCGCGGGGAATTCGGTGACCCGCCTTCGGCCCCGCCCATCATGAACGCCAGCGGCTCCGGCTACCCGCTCGCCTCGCTGTACGTGGGCGACCTGCATCCCGAAGTGACCGAGGCCATGCTCTATGAGAAGTTCTCTCCCGCCGGCCTCATCCTGTCCATCCGCGTGTGCCGCGATGTGGCCACCCGGCGCTCGCTGGGCTATGCCTACGTCAACTTCCAGCAGCCTGCCGACGGTGAGCCCCGGGGGAGCGGGTCGGGAGGGCATGGGCCGACGCGGCATCCTGGACTGGGCCGCCCGCGCTTTCATCTCCCATAGTGCGTCCCGGGAAACAGGCCCAAAGATGCTGGGCCTCGGCAGGAGCCCGGTCCCTGGGATGAGAATTGGCCATTAATTTGCGGATTACCGGTATTGCTCTGCTTTACGGGGGAGAGAGAGCAAGGCCGAGTGAAAACAGCTAAGGGCTTTGGGGTAAGGGGCTAGAAAGCCAGCAGCTGCGTGATTTGGGGCAAATCACTCAACCATTCTGAGCCTCAGATGCCTGTTTGGAAAACGGGGTGGGGGGTGGGGGGGAGTTCCTACCTGCCTTATGATTATTTATGAGGATGAGACATTCAAAGCACCTGATGAGGAAGAGGCCCGAGGCGAGTGGGGACGCCGAGAGAGCTGGGACTTGGGCTCTGGCCTTTCCCAGCAGCGAGCCGTGTGACACCCGGCGCCTCCATCTTCGCGGGCCTTGAGCAGCTGCCTCCTCTAGCCGCCTAGACTGGTTTCTCAGAGCTGATAGGGTTGATTCAAGATTGTCGGATGAGCACGTCTGCACTTCATCGGGAGTGGGGAGGATAAAGATGAGGGAGTGCAGGGTTTTGCAGGACTTCGGCCACTAGGGTGTGAGCTTGGAAAAGACTTCACCTCGGCACCTCGTCATTGGCAAAACGCAGCTAAGGCTTATTGCCCAATAGCGTGAAGAATGAACAACCGATGTGCGTGAAGTATCTCGTATATTATTTGGTATATTGTAAGTGGTATGCTGATAACTAATGTTCTGGTGGACGACTCCAGAAACTTAACCCCAAAAGGCCTGCCCAGTCACGTCCACAAGAGGGCGCCCTTGACTACAGGCCTCCTGGGTGGATGGGGAGGGTCTCTGAGTTGGGGGTGTGCTGAGGGAGGGGTTGTTCTGCAAAGTCTGTTTCCCTGCCTTGACTGAGCTGGATTCCTGGGCGTCTTCCCTTTGCTCTACTTCTCCCCACCGCCTGCCTTTTCTCATTTTCTTCCAAGTCCCATGAAGGAGCACAGACCTGACCTTTTTTGCCCCACGTCATAGTTGGGGAAACAGCTGCAGAATGGAGAAGGGATTTTATGATAGCACTAGATGCAGAGCCCAAGCTTCCTGAAACCTGCTCCCCCTCATTCCCCACAGCTCCCTCCATGATCTAAAACTAGTAGACTCCCTGAAGCAGAGAACTCATTACCTGGCAGGGAACAGGCCATTGTTAGAGGATGAACAAAGGCTGTTTTCAGACACACTGCTGTTTACCAAGCACCTAGTTTGTGTCAGACACAAAGTGCAAACGTGGCACCTTGCATATCTTGTTTTATTTAATTTTCAATCTGCCCAACAGCCTGGAGGTAGGTGGCATTATCTCCTTTTTTAGGTGTGGAAAAGTAGGTAATATTATCATCCTTCTCACTCTACAGATGAAGAACAGGCTCAGAGAAGTGATAATCACTTTCTCCAAAGCCACACTGCTTGGGATTGGATCTCAACTCTGCTCTTCGGCACCTCTGAGCTTTAATTTCCTCAAACTGCTGCCATCCTTTGTCATATGGATGTTCTTGTCTGCTCAGCATGCCTTAGCGGCCAGGACGGACCTGGCTCTGCTACTGACCTTTTACTTTTCTGAGCCTCATTTTTCCCATCTGTAAAATGGGGATAGGAATTCATGCTCACATGGTTACAGAAGGAGTTGAATGTGATCATAACTAGAAGGTGGGAGGAACACCATACACAACAATTCTCTCAGCTTATCCCTGCCCTGAGCCTTTAGGCTCTTTTCTCAAGTGGGACTGAGACCATGACTTTTTTCTTTTGGCTCCCAGTTAAGCACCTTGGGTGAGTCAGGGTAAGAATATTCCTTTTACTTGTCCCTCTCTTTCCTCCTCTTGTCCAGCGGAGCGGGCACTGGATACAATGAATTTTGAGGTGATCAAAGGCCAGCCCATCCGCATCATGTGGTCCCAGCGAGACCCAGGACTTCGCAAATCAGGTGTAGGCAACATCTTCATCAAGAACCTGGAAGACTCCATTGACAACAAGGCTTTATATGATACCTTCTCTGCCTTTGGGAACATTCTCTCTTGTAAGGTGGGTGTGCCTCTTTGCGGGGATCAGTGTCAACTGCCTTCCTGGGAGAAGAATGCCAAGCAACATCTCACTTTACCGTTTATAAGGTCCTTTCAGTAAAACTTCAGGTACAGCAAGCACTTGAATAGTAGCTGTCCTTTCAATTTGTCTTCCATGAACTATCAAAGGTTATTAGCCAGCTCTCACTGTGTAGCCACCTCCAAATGTAGTGGCTATCAACCATGTATTTAGCTCATAACTCCACAGATGTCAATTTGGACTGAGTTCAGCTGGGCAGTTCTTCCAATCTTGACTGGGCTCCCTCATATGCCGTTGAGAGCTAGATGGGAGCGCTCCATGGGCACATGAGGGAGTGACTGGCCATCAACTGAACATCTCAGCTTTCCTCCCTTTGGTCTTTCATCTTCCAGCAGGCTATCCTCATGGCAATGGCAAGGTCCCAGAAGATGGAGAGTGGAAGCTCACCATCTTGAGTCCTCTTGAGACATAAACTCAAAACTGGAACACCCTCACTTCTGCATTCTCTTGGCCAAAGCAAGTCACAAGACCAGTCTACATTCAGAATGAGGGAGGCAGTAGAAATTATAGAATGAAGGATGTGGCCACAGGAAGGCCATTAATTGGGGCCATCATGGCAATCGATGGACCAAATCTTGTTTTTAAGATTTTGGTTATATCAGAATGTAGGTTCCACGAGAACAGTGATCTTGTTCTTAGTCACTACTATATCCCTAGAATAAAATGTGACACACATTAGGTGCCCAGCAAATATTTGTTGAGCAGCTGGATGTATTATTTGAGGAGGGCTCTGATGATTTCTCTGACTTTGTACTGAGGATTTTGAGACTCAGAGACCATATACTAGTCAGTGTGTCCCAACCTGAGGGCTTAAACCTGGGTGTTCTGCTTCGAGAGCAGCTGATCGTTTACCCTGAAGTCTTCGGAGTGCCAGCCCTTCTGGGAAGGATAGGGGAATTTTGTGAACTCTGTGTTAGAATATTTATTGAGCTATGAGCTGGGAATAGACCTTAAATTCTCAAAGAGGGTTCACAACTTCCCAGTGAATGAGGGTCTATTTCTTTGGCTCAGGAGAACAGACAGACTTGAGGAGGTACAGTAATTTTTCTAAGGGTTTTCTGTGACAGAGAGACAGGGTGGTTTCTTATCTTTCAGGATCAGTAGGAGAAAGAGACTCAACTGTGTGGTTAAGTTCTTAAAATAATAATGGCAGATTTACCAAGTACTTTTAGTGTGTTAGGTTTTCCACATATGTGTATGACCCTTAACACAGGGTGCCTGGCACATTGTAAGCATCTAAGTGATAGCTGTAATAAGAAATTACTTCTGTTGGCTGACCTTGGTCAATCCATTTACTCCCATTATCCCTCTGAGGTTCAGAAGTCAAGAATAACCTAGAAATGCGCTTATGGCAAATACAACAAGGTCAGTATGTGATGCCCTTAGTAGGAGCTTGACCCAAACTGGGGACCCACACAATGTGAATGGGAGAGCTGGGGCTTAGCCAGGTACAGTGGCTCATGCCTATGATTCCAAAACTTTGAAAGGCAGAGGTGAGAGGATTGCTTGAGCCCAGGGGTTCAAGACCAGCCTGGGCAGCTTGGCGAGACCTTGTCTCTACAATAAATCTCTACAATAAACAAACAATTAGCCAGGCATGGTGGCATGCTCCTGTGATTCCAGCTACTTGGAAGACTGAGGTGGAAGGATTGCCTGAGCCCAGCAGGTCAAGGCTGTGGTGACAGTGAGTCTGCCACTGTGCTCCAACCTGGGTGACAGTGAGACTCTGTCTCAAAAAAAAAAAAAAACCAAAAAACTGAATTCAGTGGTTCAGCCTGTAATCCCAACACTTTGGGAGGCCGAGGCGAGTGAATTGACTGGGCCCATGAGTTTGAGACCAGCCTGGGCAACCTGGTGAGACCTCGTCTCTACAATAAATCAAAAAATTAGCCGGGTGTGGTAGCGCATGCCTGTAGTTTTGGTTACTTGGGAAACTAAGGCAGAAGGATCTCTGGAGCCCAGCAGGTCGATTCTAGGATGGCCGTTTGTGTGCCATTGTACTCCAGCCTGGGCAACAGAGTGGGACTCCAATTCAAAAAAAAACCAACCAAACCTGGTGCTTGAGCTGAAAGTGGAGGGACCCTGTTTGGAGCTGGAGAGGTGGAGGTGTGTGTGTGAGGCATGAGTTTAGAAGCAGGACTTATTGTGTGAAGCCTAATGAAGAGCTTCAACTGCCAAGTTGATATAGTTCTGTGAATAGAAGCTGCTAGATGCTAAAGAGACAAAGTCAGATTTAGAATCACAGTTTAGAAAGAGCATCCCAGCGATCAGCATGGAAACTGGTCTGGGAGGGGCAGTGGTCATCTAGGCAGAAAATGCCACTTAGCTGAACTGGGGCAGTGGTTTCAGGGAGGGGTGGAGCATGGTCATCTGGAAATGGAGGTTAGTGGTTTTTCTGCAAGTTCATCAAGAGGGATGGGAACTGTTTGAATTTAAGTCATTCCCTGTTCAAGTTCTGTCCTAACTTGAGTCAGGAGGGTTATAGAATGGATAGTGTACATCTTTAAAAAATTGAAACAAGTTTGTTGTTGAAATAATTCATGAATTGGTAAGGTTTGAGCAGTGTGGAAAGGAAGAAGGTGAAAAAGAAGTCTCCATCCATTTCAGCCTTGGTCTCCAGAAATAATCATCATGAATAGTTTTGTCTGTGTCTGTTTCAAAACTTCCAGTGTGTAGATGCCTACTTTAACAACAAATGGACTTGATTTTTCTTCATCTAGAAAACCTGACCCATAACTGTCAGCCATGTTACCTACCACATTGTCTTTATCTGTGCACATACAATAGGCCTTATAAATGTACTGTAATTTACTTAACTGGTTTCCCCTTGATGGATACTCAGGTTGTTTCTAGTTCTTCTTTCGCCTGTTGCCTTAGGAAGACGATTAAAAGCTGGTCAGTAGTGTGGATGAAACCAATGTTCCCTTTGAGGGTGTTCTTCCTCCTCAATCTGTTATCTCAGGCAAGTGAGTGGTTTTCCCTGAGCACCCAATTTCCCATCTAATGTGGGGCTGTTGTGTGACATGGGATTCTTTTCCTTGCATGCAGCCAGCTCACAGTTACTGACCATTATCACCTTTGCCATTCTTTTCTACCTGAACCCTGTGTCGATGCTCCCCTGTCCTTTCCTGTGGCCCAGGTGGCGTGTAACGAGCATGGTTCCCGAGGCTTTGGCTTTGTCCATTTTGAGACCCATGAGGCGGCACAGCAGGCCATCAGCACCATGAACGGGATGCTGCTGAATGACCGTAAAGTGTGAGTGACTGGGCCCAGGGGAGGGGCCGAGGTTGTGGGGACAGAAGCATGACACCACCAGTTAGGAATCGATGCTGCCTCCCACCACCCTGGGCTGTCTAATGGGCACCAGCTGCTGAGTGGCAGGCACTCTTCCCCCAAGTGTGACCTCAGACAAGTTGTTCAGTCTCTCCGGAACTCTTCCTGCACATAAAAATGGAGCTGGCGATTTGCATTAGAGGATTGTTCTGAGTGTAAAGGAAGTGGTGATTTTGAAATACTAGAGGGACTGGCTAATTGCCGTGTCATCAATGGTCTCCATGATTTATCTGTTTTCCAACCTTCCCAGTTTGGTTGGGAGTTTTTTGTTTTTGTTTTGTTTTTGCTAAACCTTTTGTGTTGTTTCAAGGAATTTGGGAGCAGAAAGAAAAGTAGGCGTATACTTCACCTGCTCTGTTTATACAATTACATTTTGTATCGAGTCCATTTCACAGATGGGAAAATTGACATATAGCTGCTAGAGAGAATCTGCTTCTGATTTGGATTCTGCTCACTAATGGAAGAGACACACTGAGAGTCATTTGTCCAGGGTTTCTTAGGGGAGGCTCCTGTCAAGCTGAATCTCCATGAGCTTTTCCCAGTTCTCAGAGGGATGCTATCTTTTGGCCATATGCTATGGCTCACACCTGTAATCTCAGCACTTTGGAAGACTGAGGTGGGAGGATTGTTTGAGTCAAGGAGTTTAAGACCAATCTGGGCAACATAGTAAGACTGTGTCTCTACAAAGAAATCAAAAAATTTGCCAGGCTGGTGCCTATAGTCCCAACTACTTGGCAGGCTGAGGTGGAATGATTGCCTGAGTCCAGGAAGTTGAGGCTGTGGTGAGCCATGACCAAGCCACTGTACTCTAGCCTGGGTGACAGTGAGACCCTGACTCAAAAAGAAAAAGTAAGAAAGAAGAATGCTATCTTTGTTGGCTACAATTTACTCAGTTTACCTTTGCCACTCAGTTTTCTTCAAGTTTTTGTTCTTGTTACAACTTATTTGTGATAAATGTGCTATAGTTACCATCAGAATTTCTTATGCTTTTTTTCCCCTCTTAATCTAGAATACTTTCCTAGATATGTTTATATGAACTTGGAAATGACAGTCTTTAAACTTAATGTTGTGTTTAGTAATTCCAATCCATCCTCCCCATAGCGACACTGGCATTAATTCACTTGCCCCTGCTCCTCTAGTGCACTCGACACATGTTAAATAAGCAAACTCAGTGATGTGAATTTGATTCCCAGTTTTACTAGAATGAACACTGAGGCCTCAGAGAAGTTAAGTAACTTGCCCAGGGTCACAGAGCAAGGCAGCTGCAGAGTGAGGGCTCAAGCCCTTTGTCTGTCTGATTCCCAGGTCCATGATCTTATCTCCTGTGCTCTCAGCTGCCTGGTAAATAGTAGTACGTCTGAGTGCATTTGTTACAAGAATGAAGTTTTCTTAACCTTATGCTGGAGACAAGCTCTGGAACATAGCAGTTTTGCTATTGGAGGTAGTTGGGCCTTGGATATCTTCTGTCTAAAGAGTATTGCCCCACACAGTCTCCTGATGAGAGATTTGGAGGCAGTTGGGCTGGGTTTGGCATGGGGGTGGTGGCTTCTGACTGGCATCTGCCTACCCAGTTGGTGTGTTCACAGCTTTGTTGGCCACTTCAAGTCCCGACGGGAGCGGGAGGCGGAACTAGGAGTGCGAGCCATGGAGTTCACCAATGTCTACGTGAAGAATCTCCAAGTGGATGTGGATGAGCGGGGCCTGGAGGACCTCTTCTCCCAGTTTGGTGGGCGTGTTCCCGAGGGAGGAGGGGGATCACTGTTTCTCCTCTTCTCCCCCCAGGTCTGGTAGGGAAGAGGGGCCCCCTGGGGGTTTCCTAAGGGCTTATGGTGAGGGAGGGAACATCTTGGGACTTCCCAAACTCCCCTTTGAGCCAGGTGGGTCCTTTCCAGGAAAGATACTGAGCGTGAAGGTGATGAGGGACAACAGCAGCCACTCCCGGGGCTTTGGCTTTGTCAACTTTGAGAAGCATGAGGAAGCCCAGAAGGTAAGAGCCTCTCCAGGGCTCTGTGCCAGGGAGGGGGCACCAAACCAGGACTAGGAAAAAGGGAGATTGGGAGTAGTGGGCTCCAGGTGCCTGTGGAGGGGAAGAAAGCCTCTCCCCAGCCTGGGCCAAGAGGGATTGGAGAGTCCCCCATACAGGCAGGACCCTTCTTGCTTGTGGTACAAAGGCCGAAGGCTTCATTCTTTACTGATTGCCTCTAAGCCCTCGGGTCTGCAGAACTGAATATTTAGGCAGGGAAGCAAAAGTCATCATTACATACAAATATATACTAATGAAATGGTCACTTAAAAAATCAGTTCCCTGCCGGGCTCGGTGGCTCAACCTGTAATCCCGCGCCTTTGGGAGGCTGAGGTGAGTGGATTGTCTGAGCCCGCGGGTTCGAGACCCGCCTGGGCAGCGAGACCTCATCTCTACAATAAATCAAAAAATCAGTCGGGCGTGGTAGCGCATGCCTATAATTCTGGCTACTTGGAAGGCTGAGGCGGAGCCCAGCAGGTCGAGGCTGAGGTGGCCGGGAGCGGCCACTGCACTCCAGTCTGGGCAACAGAGTGAGACTCCAACTCAAAAAAATAAAAAATAAAAAATAAATCAGTTCCCTTTCAGACATTTCCCCTATACTATAACACCAGTGTCTAATCCTGACCATTGAGTTGGTGTACACTTGTGTCTAACTTTTGATTTCTTTTGTGGACAAGTCATTGTAAATTCAGTCCAGTGTAAATGGATTACAGAGAGAAGTTGCACATCTTGCAGAAGATGCAGGATCTTATGCTGTTAAGCTTAGAATCTTCCAGGTTTAGGTCAGTCAACTGAAGAAAAGAAAAGTCAAGAAGGGTTAAGATACAAATATTTCTTGAGAAATGAGTTAGTCCTCACAGTTGGCAAAAGGGATTCCTCTGTGCTATGAAATTCAACATGAAGTGAAGGATGTTGATTATGCTGTCATGCCATTTTGAAAGACTTATGCTTGCTGCTTTGTTCAAATTATTCATGTGTAGTTATAGTTAGAACTTTATTTTTTTTTTTAAATTCAGAGTCTTACTCTGTTGCCCATGCTGGAGTACAGAGACACAATCATGGCTCACCACAGCCTTCACCTCCTAGGCTCAGGCAATCCTTCTATCTCAGTCTCCCAAATAGCTGGGTCTGTAGGCATGCACCGCCACGCTGACTAATGTTTTTAATTTTAATTTTTTTGTAGAGACAAGGCCTCCCTATGTTGCCCAGGCTGGTATTGAACTCCCAGGCTTCAGCATTCCTCCTGCCCCAGCTTCCCAAAGTACTGGGGTTACAGGTGTGAGCCACTGTACCTGGCTACATTTCTTAATTTTTAAATAGACTTTTTTTTTTTTTAACAGCCGTTTTAGGTTCACAGCAAAATTGAGTGGAAGGCACAGAGGTTTTTCCATGTTCTCTGTGCCCCTGCACAAGCACAACCTCTACCATTACCAACATCCTGCACCCAAGTGGCACATCTGTTAACAATTGATGAACTTACTTTGACACAAAGCCCATAGTTTATATGAGGGTTCACTCTTGGTGTACATTCTACAGGTTTGGACAAATGTATGGTATATTACATCCACTATGTTAGCATCACGCAGGATACTTTTTTTTTTTTTTTTAAGTAGGATTTATTGAGAGGACAGAAAAGCTCCCAGTGTTGGAGGGAACCTGAGAAGATTGCTGAGAATACTTTCACTGCCCTCAAAATCCAGTGCTCTCCCTACTCCTCCCTCCTTGCCCCTTAACCCCTGGCAACCACTGATCTTTTTATTGCCTCCGTAGTCTTGCTTTTCATATCATAATTGGAATCAAAGAATATGTAGCTTTTTCAGATTGGTTTCTTTCACTTAGTAATATGCATTTAAAATATGGCAATATTTAAATATATTTGAAATATTTAAAATTTAAATATGGGAAGCTGCAAATTTTCATTTAATTTTTAAATTTTTTTTTTTTTTTTTTAGAGACAAGGTCTCACTCTGTTGCCCAGGCTGAAGGGCAGTGGCACGATCATAGCTCAATGTAACCTTGAACTCCTAGGCTCAAGCAATCCTCCCACCTCAGCTTTCCAAGTAGCTGGGACTACTGGCACATCCCACCACACCCGGCTAATTCTTAAAAACTTTTGTAGAGACAGGGTCTCACTATGTTGCCCAAAATGGTCTTGAACTCCTGGCCTCAAGCCAATCCTCCTGCCTTGCTTCCCACAGTGCTGGTATTACAGGTGTCAGCCACCATGCCTGGCCTTCATTGTTTTAAAGTAGAGCCCCAATCAAATTTTTTAAATCTACAGTTTACTCTTAAATTTTGTTCTGTGTTTTAAAAAAGTGGATGTACTTTAAATGGCCTTTATCCTGATACTAATTATTCTCAACTAGGATGGCTGGCCTGGTTTGCAGGTGCCCTGGAGACCAGGGCAAGGGCCAGGGCCACATCCTTGCAGTTCCCAAGCACGCTCTCCTTCCTCCTCTCCCCAGGCCGTGGTCCAAATGAATGGGAAGGAGGTGAGCGGGCAGCTGCTCTATGTGAGCCGGGCCCAGAAGCGGGTGGAGCGGCAGAGTGAACTGAAGCGCAGGTTCGAGCAGATAAAACAGGACCGGCTGAACCGCTACCAGGTAAGTCCAGGCCTCCTGGTGGCTGCTGCTTTTGAGTTGAGAGTGGCTGTAGTGGGGGCCCTACCTGTGACTCCTTCCTCTAGTGATCCTACTTCCTGGCACTTGACTGAGGGCAGGAATCAGATGAGCATGGGATGGTCTCCACTGCCTGACCTAACAGTAGGATAAACTGCCCAACCATAAGGGATCCAACCATAGGGGGTCAGTCCGGGTGCTATGGTAGGAATAATCCTTTATGTGGAACTGCTTAGCATCCGCTACCCCACCCACTCAACACCAGTTCATCTTCCAGTTACAGACAACCAAAGTACCTTACATATTGCCAAATGCCCCTGGAGGAAATCCTGCTCCTGGTTTGAGAATAATTAGGCCAAATATGTTATATCCACAAGTTGAAATGGTGTATAGCCATTGTAATTATATTGAGTTAATAATTAAAGTGAACATTGTAGATCAGTACAAAACTTAAACTTTACTGGAAAATCGGACCCCTTTTAAAATGTTTAATAAAAGTGCTAGATCCTTGACCTGGCACAGTGGCTCGCACCTGTGATGCCAGCACTTTGGGAGGCTGAGGCAGGAGGATTGCTTGATGCCAGGAGTTCAAGACCAGCCTAGACAACATAGTGAGACCCTCCTCCCCATCTCTGCAAAACATAAAAGTAGCTGGGTGTTGTGGCATGTGCCTGTAATCCCAGCTACTTAGAAGGCTGAGGTGAGAAGATTGCTTGAACCTGGGAGTTCAAAGATACAATGAGTTATGATCACACCTCTGCAATTCAGTCTGGGCAACAGAGCAATACCTTGTCTCTCTTAATTAAAAAAAAATTTCTTGATCCCTCATGGAGAGGGGTGTATATGTTCATACCCCCCCCCCCCCACACACACATACAAGCATGCATACATAGTCAGTAATTCTCAGTGAGGAGCACTTGTGCCTCTCAGGACATTTGGCAATGACTAGAATTTTTAGTTGTCATATTTGGGTGGCAGGGTGCTACCGGATTCTACTGGGTGGAGGCCAGGGGTGCTGGCAAATATCCTACAATGCACAGGACAGCCCCACAATGAAGAACTATGCAACACAAAATGTTACTAGTACTGAGGTGGAGAAACCCTTGTGTGTACCCACACATCCCACTGTGCACATACAACATGTTCAGAAACTTCTACAGAACAAAATACCATGTAATCTGTGAGAACAGGATATTATACCTTACAGAAATGGGCCTTCACACATTTTCGTGCTTGGAAGGTCTTGAAGGAGAAAATTGGGGTCCTGGAGGCATCTGTCATTCAATGGTAAGGGGCATAGACTCTGAAGTTAGACTGCTTGGTTGTCCTGTCTCTGCCACTTAGGGGCTGTATGATCTGGGACAATTTACTTAACCTGTTTGTGTTTTGTGTCATCTACAAAATAAGGATAAAAGTTTCCTTCACATAGCATTGTGGTGAGAATTAGAAATGTGTGAAAGAGCTTAGAGCGGTGCTTGGCACCAGCATGAGTAATGTGCCTGAGGTTCCTCAGCCTTGGCAGTAGAAGGCAGCTCACCTGTACTCAGGGGTTTGGTCCTGGGCCTGGATGGAGAGGAGCTCTTCCTACTGGTGCTCAGTGTCAGCCATCTTGAGAGCTATGATTGGGCTTGCTCTGTGCCTGAGCCTGCTGTGGGACTTGGGCCCTCCGTGGGTCCCATCTGTGAAGTGGGGAAAGGCTGTGGTGAGGCTGAGACCTGTGCAGATGTATGAGAATTGCCAGAAACTTAGGGATTGTGGGGGTTGCAGGCCCTAGGTGATGGGCGTGCCAGGGGACTGGGGAGCACAGGCGCTGTGGGAGATGAGCAGGAGGCTGGGCTGGCAGCACTTCCAGTGCCCCTTGTGCCCACGTCAGCCCCCTGCTCTCCCCAAGGCAGTCTGGAGCTTGGGAAGGAGGGAGCACATCTAGCAGTATCCCTTCCTTCCAGGGTGTAAACCTGTATGTGAAGAACCTGGACGACTCCATTGATGACGAGAAACTGAGGAAAGAGTTCTCTCCCTATGGAGAGATTACTAGTGTGAAGGTGAGGGCCAAGGGCACCTCCAGGGGGGTAGCCTTCCCCTCCATCCTCTCACAGCCACCCCACCCACAAACCTCTTACCTAGTGGCTTCCAGAGAGTTGGTATTGAGCTACCCCTTTTGGGGATCTATCTGACCCCATGGGAGCTTCTAGTCTATCTGTAGTCTTGTCTGGACTGGAGGGGAAGAGGGTAGAAATATAGTCCCAGTCACACAACTGGACTTGTTGGGGCTCACTGTAACCTTGGTTCACTCTCTAAGCATTTATTGAGTGCCTACTGTATGCCAGATTCCAGAAACTCCTGTCTTAGTATTTCCATTCACTTTTGTTGTCTGGCCTTTGCCAGTGACATAACCTTTCTGGGCCTCAGTTTGGCCATCTGAAAAATGAGGGGGTTGGGCTGTGTTATACTTCATTCATTCTTCTCCATTTATTGAGCATATACTGTGTGTGTAACCTTGTTAGGTACTTGAGATGTGACAGACGGTCTTATTTACACCATAAGTCTATGACCTTGAACAGGTGTCTTAACTCTGAGCCTCATCTATAATATGAGGACCTTGGGCTTGCTGGATGGTTCTCAGCCCTGGCTTCTCATTAGAATCCTCCTGGGAAGTCCTTTAATAGGGATGCTTGGGTCAGATATGGAATGTCAAGCTCTGGGGATAGGGCCTGAGCAATTTATTTTTTAAAACTCTCCAGATGATTTTAAGATGACTCAGTGTTCACTCATTCCATATTTAAGCACCTGCTGCTTTGCCAGGCTCCATGGGAAGCGTACGGGAGCAGAACAGATGTGTTCCCTGCCTTTGAGTGCTTATATCCTAGTGAGGTCAAGCCCACTATTAATTCACATGGATGATAAGATAGGAGAGGACAGCATGAGGGTAGAGCTGCAGGAGGGAGGGCTTCCTGGGAGAAGTGGCAGTAGAAGCAGTGTTTGACTTGGCTGTGAGGAGATAGGGAGCTGCAGGTGGGAATGAGGAACCTTCTAAACAGATAAGTGTGGGTGATGGGGTTGGGGACCCACGCAGCTGATGTGATGGTTGGGTTCTGAGGAGTAGTCTAGAAGCTTTATTTTGCCATTGAGTCCAATTTTAAATATTCAGGGAGCATTCAGGGAGCCTAGTGTTTGGAGGGGAAAAGATTCTAAAGTTTTTGAGCGAAGGACCTTTTGAAAAATGTAACAGAAAGCTGTGAAGCATGTAAATCAGGCTTCAGTAAATGTGGTTAAGCATTATAAAAAGCTGCGGGCTCTCTTTCCCAGCAAATGCATACATGATGCTGTAATATGGTTTAAAATCTGCAGTTTTAAAGTTACCTAATGGTTTAGAACCTAAGGCGAGTGTCTTAGCCTTTTGGACCCTGTTTACCCACCTGAAAAATGGGAGCAGCATTTCTTTCCTCTGGAGGTGTCCTGAGAGCCACAGAGGCTGCATGGAGAGCATATGCATGTGATAAGTAATACTTACCATATTGTATATGTATATACATATGTATACATACATAAGTATGAGTGAAATACTGATTGTTGTAATTATTCATCATACATTTTGTATAGAATTTTAGGAGCTTTACTGGCCGCCTTTGAGGATCCCTTGAATGGAGGGAATGTATAAATCCGGATTGCTTAGAGTTGAGGCACACTTGATGTGACCATCTTTTTAACAGGCCAAACAGTTTCTAAAATGGGGACTGTATATATGTTTACATATATCTTATATAATTCTATATTTTCTGTTTTATATAAAGTAGCGATTATGAAAATTAAATGAGTTAATGTATATAAATGCTTATACCACTATCAAGTTCATAGTAAGCTCTGCATAAGTGTTACCTTTACTAATGTTATTAACTACCTACTAACAGAAGTTCTTAATATTTTTGTGTCAGGATCCTTTTGGCTGTCTGGTGAAGCCTTTCAACACTATTTTTAAATGTATAAAATAAAATTCATAGAATTATAAAAAGCAATCTTATTGAAATTTAATGACAAAATACTAAAGTAGCAATAGCATATGCTTTATTAATGTATTAAACTGTAAAATCTAGCAAAAGAGTAATTGACCTAAATGATATTTTGAGATTAGCCATAATTAATGTGGCATGAAAGTATTAGATTTTTTTTCTTCATGCCAAAGTCACAGGCGTGGCTAATACCACTATATGTTTTTTGTGTTGCTTTTGTTCATAACAGAAGAAAATGCTAATATGAAAATAAAGATGTCCCCTTTTCCCCATCCAAGTTCACAGGCCCTCTGAATTATATCCATAACCTCCCTGAGGGACATCAGGGACTCTCAGTTTAAGGCCCTTGTACTGCTGGGTGGCAGAGGGCAGTTTGAAAATGATTTAGAGTGTGGGCTCTAACATGACAGATTTTTTAAATAGCTCTAGTCCTTACAGAGTATGCGAGCTAGGCCAGTGTTTTGGCCTAAAAATGATTAAGAATCCTAAATGCAATGTGGAATGGGTTTTGGAAGAGAAAAAAGAATATTAGTGGAAGAAAGAGTGAAATCCCAATGAAGTCTGGAGTTTAGCTGTAGTTAATAGAGTGAATAATAATAACTGCACCAGTGTTTGTGTTGTAGTTTTGACAAATGTACCATGTTAACACTAGGAGAAGCTGGATGAAAAATTTACTGTCTTCTGTAAATTTAAAGTTATTCTGACGTAAAAAGGCTATTTTCATAAAAGGCTAAGAACCTCTTCCCAAGCTTGGGGAAGGACTTGACTCAGTAACTTGCAGAGGTGACAGAGGTTTACCAGAGTGGTGTGTTGGGTTGAGTCCAGGCTAATGTGACCCTGGACGAGATACTTGCAAGCTCCCCTCATCTCACCTGTACAGTGGGAGTCGCAGTCCCTCCCGCATGAGGAGGTTGTAGATGTGAGACGTGAAGGCACGTAAAGTATCTGGCATGCAGTAAGCCTCAGTCCACATGGGGTAGGCGGTGCAATCCGCTATCACAAGTTTCTCATGGGCCCATTCGGTACTGGCTCAGCCCCTGGGGGATGGGGAAACTCAGCCCAGGAGTCTTCCTTCCCCACCCCCAGCAGCTCTTGTCTTGTCTTGCTTTTAGGTGATGACAGAGGGTGGCCACAGCAAGGGGTTTGGCTTTGTGTGTTTTTCCTCCCCAGAAGAGGCAACAAAGGCCGTGACAGAGATGAATGGGCGTATTGTGAGCACCAAGCCACTGTATGTGGCGCTGGCCCAGCGCAGAGAGGAACGGAAGGCCATCCTGACCAACCAGTACATGCAGCGCCTCACCACCATGCGGTCTCTGGGCAACCCCCTCTTAAGCTCCTTCCAGCAGCCCACCAGCTACTTCTTGCCTGCTGTGCCCCAGGTGACGGCCTGCCCATAGCTCCCATCATACCCTTTCCCTGACAGCAGGTAGAATAGGCATACTAGAACTTCACAGCCAGTGAAGGTTCTCAACTTTCTTCTGCTGAAAACTCACTAGGCAGCCCATTTCAGCCTCTGAAGTCGGCGTTTCCCCATCTGGCAAAGGGGGTTATAGTGCTCCTATCCAACAGCATTTCCCCGTAGAGAGATCTGCAAATATCATGCAAAGACTCATTGGGCAGACAAGTTTGGGAAATGTTGCATGAAGCAAAAGAAACTGAAATTTCTTTACTATATACATTCTTCTACTCTAATGTGCCAGTACCTGTTATGACTCTCCCAAACAGGCATAGAGTGTGGCATTTCCCTAGCTTAGGTGGTTGTCTTTTGTGGGATACCTGTTAACACCCCCTGGCTGGTGATGTTCTGAGGAGCATGGTTTAGGAAAGGATCTCATGGGACTTAGAGGAAATTGAAGGATGTAAGCCATCAAAGACCACCAGAATGGGAACATTCCTCTCCTTTTAGTAGTTGCGTAACCTGGCACAAGCTGAAGTAAAATGTGTCACCTTTTTTGTTCAGGTCATTGGGCTACCTCTGATAGGGAGGAAGGCTTGAACTCTAGGATCTTGCCTTGAAGGGTTCAGGGCTGATGGAGATGGGAGGAAGGGCCCTTCATTCCAGCCTTGTGGGTCTTTACTAACCAGTCCTCTGCAGGGGCCACTCCACTGGGAATTCCTGCAATGGTGTCCTTGAGATATAGCTTCTCATCTGCCCTGCTGCAAAGCCCCTCATTCTAGGTCCTCTTCTCTACACAGCCTCCAGCCCAGGCTGCGTTCTATGGCTCTGGATCCTTGACACCTGCCCAACCTGCCCCCAGGTGGATGGCCCAGCCACCTAGACCTTTGTGTGAGTATCCCAGCCCTTCCTGCACTCAACCTGACCTGTGGGTGTGGGCCCCGTGAGGCTGTGGTAACTTAGGGGTCAAGGATCAAACCTGACTCAGCCACTTCCTGGGGTGGGTGACTTCACCTTTCTAAGCCTCAGTTTCCTCTTCTGAACAGTGGTGAGCCAGTGAAAGACACGCAGTGTAGCTATTACTGGTTATCTCCAAAGAATTCTCTGATTTGTGGCTCTGAAATTCTTACAGAGCTGAGAAAATGAAATTCTTCTGGCTATTTTGTTGATGAATGGTCCTTCTTTATAAGCGTGAAGTTCACGCTTGAAACCTTGGGTGGCTAAGGTGTGTGATCATGGTGCTTATGCATCTTGGGGCTCTGGGTAGACATGATTTGGCTCTGTCATTGCAGATTTTCACACGCCCCTCCCTGGAGTTCTGGGTTTGGGTGAATTCACTCATCTTTCTGCTGTGAACTTTCTAGTTCCCCTTCCCATTCTCTTGCTGGCCCTGGAGCCTTCAGGCCACAGTGTGCCACTCTGACTATGCCTCCTGCCCCCCAGCCAACCTTTCTCTCTCTATGCTGTCTGTACCACAAGCAGCCCACCCTCCAGGTGCCTCAATGGTTCGACCATCAGGCATGTCTCGTCGACCCCTGACCCCTGTCAGCAGTGTCAGACAGGCCTCTACCCAGGTGCCACACCCTGTGTCCCACACCCAAGGAGTGGGTAAGTACGAACAGGACCAAGAGGAATGCGGGTGCCACAAGGGTTTGGTGCTGGGGATGGCACTGGAAGGGGAGTCAGGACTGATCTGAGGTGACCTTGCCATATACCATCTTGGCCAGCAAGGCTGACTTGGGAGACTGTATGTAGCGTGGTAGATAGCTTGGCTTCCAGGTTCCCAGGACTAGTGCACTCCGTGGCCCTTGCTAACTACTGTATCTGATCACCTGATACTTAAAATAGGGATAAAAATAGTCCCTCCATTTTGTTATGAGGATTGATGAGCTCACATATACAAGGGCTTAGCATTGGACCTGAGCCTTAGTAGGTATTGCAGTGGCTGTGAGTAAGGGTGTATATTTTGACTGTAAGGCCAGCACATCTGTTCCTTCTCTAGGCAAATGTTCATATCTACTATGTGCTAGCCCTATGCTCTGCACTGGGGTTTCCGCATGAATGAGCCACACTTGGTCCCTGGCCCTATAGGTGGCTACCAGGTCCTGACACCCCTGCTTATTTTCTTTTTATTGTGGTAAAATATGCATAACATACAATTTACCACTTAACCATTTTTTAGTGTACAGGTCCGTAGCATTAAGTACATTCACACTGTTGTGAAACCATCCCACCATTCATCTCCAGAACTCTACTCATCTTACAGCACTGAAATTCCATACCCACTAAAATGAGACTCCTCATTCCCCTACCCCTAGACCCTACCCTGGCAATTGCCATCCCACCTTCTGTCTCTGTGAATTGGACGATTCTAGGTACCTCATGTAAGTGGAATTGTAGAGTATTTGTCCTTTTGTGACTGGCTTATTTCACTTTCCTTGTCCTCAGGATGCAGCTGTGTTGTAGCATGTGTGAGAATCTCTTTCCTTTTTAAGACTGAATAATATTGCATTGTATGCATGACCACATTTTGCTTACTCATTCGTTCATCAGTGGATACCTGGGTTGCTTCCACCTGTTGGTTATTGTGAATAGTGCTGCTATGAAAATAGGTGTGCAAATAGCTCTTTGAAATCACCCTCTCAATTCTTTTGGGTATATTTTCAGAAGTGAAATTGCTGGATGATACAGTAATTCTGTTTAATTTTTTGAGGAACCCCATACTGGTTTTTTCTATAGTGGCTGCACCATTTTACATTCCTACTGACTGTGCATAGTGTTCCAATTTCTTTACATTCTTGCCAACACTTATTAGTTTGTTTTTGTTTTGCTATGTTTTGTTTTTGGATGGTAGCTATTTGGACCCTGCTTATTTTTTTTTTTTTGCAGCCAACATTGGTACCCAGACCACAGGACCCAGCGGGACAGGATGCTCCACACCAGGCCGGCCTCTTCTGCCATACAGGTGTTCCTCAGCAGGACACAGCACCCATGGGGTAAGGCTGATTTAGCTGCCTGCTTAATCTGGGAGGCCTGGCTCAGAAACTTGGCTACAGTGTTGTTGGGCCTTTTGTTTTTCTTTTCTTGGCATATAAATTTTCACTTATTAATGCATACAATCAATAAAAGATCACCCTTGCTGACAGAAGGGAAAAGCGAGCCAAGGTCATGTTTTGTTAATTATAATTTGTCTTGTTTAGGTTAGTGCCACAATTAATTTATATTTCCTCAGTGTTTGTGTTGAACAACAAGGAAAGTATTCTAAGACTATGCTGAATATTTGAATGTGATTAATCTTCAAAAAAAATACCAAAAATATCTACTGTAATGAAACCAAAGGCTATTTATCTCTCTCTCCACAAAAAGATCTCAAATTCAACATTATCATATCCTGTTTAGAATTTCAATGTATCTAGTTTGAACTAATTCTTGTAAAATGAAGAATTTTTTTATTTGCTTGTTTGTTTGTTTATTTTGAGGTGGAGTCTTACTCTGTTGCCCAGGCTGGAGTGCAGTGACACACTCATGGCCACCCCAGCGTTGACCTGCTGGACTCCGGCGATCCTTCCACCTCACCTTCCAAGTAGCCGGAACTACAGGCTCGTGCTACCATGCCCAGCTATTTTTGATTTATTGTAGAGATGAGGTCTGTTGCCCGGCTGATCTTGAACCTGCGGGCTCAGGCAATTCACTCACCTTGGCCTCCCAAAGTGCTGGGATTACAGGCTGAGCCACTGAGCCCAATATTATTTATTTAAAAAAAATTTTTGTTTTTATTTTTTAGAAATGAGGTCTTGGAATCTTGCCCTGTCACCTAGGCTTGGAATACAGTGCCATGGTCATGGCTCACTACATTCTCAAACTCCTGGGCTCAAGCGATCCTCCCATCTCAACCTCACAAGTAGCTGGGACTATAGGCATGTACCACCATGACCAGTTAATTTTTAAAAAAATTGTTAGCCGGGCTCGGTGGCTCAGCCTGTAATCCCACACCTTTGGGAGGCTGAGGTGAGTGGATTGCCTGAGCCTGCAGGTTTGAGACCCGCCTGGGCAACTTGGCGAGACCTCATCTCTACAATAAAAATAAAAAAAATTAGCTGGGCATGGTAGCACCCGCCTGTAGTTCCAGCTACTTGGAGACTGAGGCGGAAGGATCGCCAGAGCTCAGCAGGTCAAAGCTGCGGTGACCGGGAGCGGGCACTGCCCTCCAGTCTGGGCGACAGAGTGAGACTCCAACTCAAAAACAAACAAACAAAAAAGAATTGTTTAAGAGATGGGGTCTTACTGTGTTGCCCAGGCTGGTCTTGAACTCTTGGCCTCAAGTGATCCTCCTGGCTTAGCCTCCTGAGTAGCTGGAATTACAAGCAGGTGCCACTGCACCTGGCTAAGAGTCATCTTTAAACAGAAAAAAATGTCTTTAAAGTTACCAAGATGTGAAAGGGTCAGAGGGTGCTGGAGATGTGTCCATAAAACTACTTGGAAAACGAGTTTGTTTAATTTTAATTTTTTTTATCAGAGTCTCACTCTGTTGCCCAGGCAGGAGCGCAGTGGCACAATCATGGCTCTCCACAGCTTCGATCTCCTGGGCTCGCGCAATCCTTCTGCCTCAACCTCCTGGGTGTTTGGAACTATGGGTGTATACCACCACACTTGGCTAATTTTTTTGTGGAGATGAGGTGTTGCTATGTTGTCAAGCTGGTTGCGAGTTCTTGGGCTCAAGCAATCCTCCTGCCTCACCTTCCCAAAGTGCTGGGATTACAGGTGTGAGCCACCACACCTGGCCAAAAGTGCTTTATTTGGCACAAAGTGATCAATAAGACATGGCTTTCATTTGGCAATGTTCCCTAGAGACCTTTACAGATTCACAGTATCACAGAAAATGTCTATATGAGAGCATAGCTTCGTCTTCTCATCCACCATGCCCTTATTAGCGACTCTGCTCCACCTGACCATCCAGACCTGTCCCCCTCCTCCCCCTTTCCAGAGCACTCCCAGCCTGTGTTCACTGCCAGGGTAAGTGTTTCAAGGCCTTGCTTGCCTATGGTGGTTAAGGGATGTGTCCCTGGCACCATGCAGGTCCAGGAGCCTGCTATGCACGTCCCTGGACAGGAGCCCCTGACTGCGTCCATGCTGGCTGCAGCGCCCCTACATGAGCAAAAGCGGATGATTGGTGAGTGGCTGGGTCTCCTACTCTGGAGCAAGAAGAAGGCTGAGAGCTGGCTAGCCTTCTGGGAAGCACCCTGAGTGGAGGTCAGATGTGAGGACAAGGTCCAGCTTTGTCACTGACTCACTGGCTGGGTGGGTGGTCTTGCCTAAGCTGCCTCTGCTTGAGGCTCCTGTTCTTGATGTAAAATATTGGTTGGACTAGATGGTTCCAAGGTTTCCTCCGGCTCTGTTATCCTATGACTTTGACTTAGGTTGGGGTCTCCCCAGATGCAGGGAGAGGAGGAAGGGCATGGTCTTGGGTTTCTGCTGGGAAGTAACCTGTAGGTGACAGTTCCTCACACCTCTCCTGAATAGAAGGATCTCTTGCCAAACTTCATCAGTTTCCCAGCATCCACTGCAGGGAGCTGGAAAATATGTGTACATTGGGTATCTACATGCTGTTCCCCACTACTCTGAATTCCTTGTGCTGTTCGTCTCCACCCCCACTGTCCATGACAGGCCTTGCTAAAAGATGCCTCTTATTGAACACAAGCATGTTCCCAGTTGGCAGGTTCTTTACTTCATGGCCACCAGGACCCCCAGACCCTTCACTGAAGATCCCCATTGCCACCACCCCATTGCTTCCTCAGCTTATTTAGGGCTTTGCCTCTTTACCCCACATCCCCTCACCAAAAATAGATGGGTTTAATGGAGGTAGGTTTTGTTAGCAGTTCCCTGTAAACATCTTCACTTTCCTCTTGGGAAGACCCCTTCCACCCCCACTTAGGCATGCTTGCTGGCTGGGCCCACCACACAGTGCTAAGATGGGCTGACCACCAACACTAGGCCCTATCGCTAGCAATACCTGATGGTGGAAGGTGGATTTATTGTAAGTAGTTTTTTTTCTACCCCCAAAAATATCTCAAGTTCAAGCATTATCATATCCTGTCCAGAATTTCAACATGTATACTACTTCAAACTATTTCTTGCAGAATGAACAAAGGTTGTCTTTAAATGGCAATTCATTTTGTGTCAGACCCTATGCTGCTGATTACTGCACATATAACATCAAGTTTGTTCAAATTATCCTCTAAGGTAGGGTTGCTATGCTCACACTACGGTTGTGTAAAGAGGCTCCCATTAAAGTTAAGAGCCACAAACTGGAAGAAGCAGTTCTGGGATGAGAGCCCAGATGTCCTCACTGCTCCACCTGGGGATGCTGGGGTATAAACCAGGTGTACACAAGCCATTTGAGGGTGTTTCATGCAGGGGAGCGGCTCTACCCCCTTATCCATGATGTCCACACCCAGCTGGCTGGCAAGATCACAGGCATGCTGCTGGAGATTGACAACTCAGAGCTGCTGCTCATGTTGGAGTCTCCAGAGTCCCTCCATGCCAAGGTAGGCTGGAGCCTGAGCAACAGGGAGTCCTGAGAGAGCAGAGCTAAGGACAAGGGCTCTCCTAGTCGAGCTATTGGGCAGCAGTTGGGGCAGATCAAAGTTTATCTTCCTGCAGATACCTGAAGGCCTGCTGAATCTTGGTATGGGAGAGGGCCTTAATGAAGTGTTTGCTACTTCAGCTCCGCTACAGACTAATTCTGTGTAGTTCCATAGGCAAGGTTTTGGTACAAGGAGGTATGTTCTGACTCAGTATAAGGATTAAGATTTTTCCAGACATCCAGCAGTGTACCTGTGGCAAAGGTGGCAGTAGGGCATGGGATCTTGCAAGTAGCAGTGGATGAAGAGAAATGCTGTGCATGGAGGAGAATCCATGTATCTACCATGCTGAAGCGGGGGCGGGGGGAGTGGTCAAGGCTCTTCTGGGACCTGCTGGGACAGCTGCACTAAGCCCCTCCCACCTTATGTCTCACAGATAGAAGAGGCAGTGACCATGTTGCAGGTACACCAGGTCGTGGAGCAGCCAAAGGTGTTCATGCACTGAAACCAGGTGGGTAGAATGCAGACAGGAGCAGCTGAGCCCAGGAGAAGCTGTAAAGAACTAGGCAGGGGCTGGGCTTGGTGGCTCAGCCTGTAATCCCAGCACTTTGGGAGGCTGAGGCGAGTGGATTGCCTGAGCCCGAGGGTTCAAGACCAGCCCAGGCAACGGGGCGAGACCTCGTCTCTACAATAAATAAAAAATTAGCCAGTAGTGTGCGCCAGTAGTTCTGGCTACTTGGAAGGCTGAGGTGGAAGGATCACCGGAGCCCAGCAGGTCGATGCTGGCGTGGCCATGAGTGTGCCACTGCACTCTAACCTGGGCAACAGAGTGAGACTCCAACTTAAAAAAAAAAAAAAAAAAAAAGAATGGAGCAGGGACTGACTCACAAACTCTCCAAGAGTCGTGCTGTGTCCCTGGTTTCCTTGGGGAGCATCAGGGAGTTTGGAGGAAGTCGTGAGCACTGAAGATGATTAACTGTGACTGGAATGGGTGGTGGTGAAGATTGTGCAGAGCGAAGGAGGTACCCTCTTGCCCACTGCCCTGCCTGGCCTCACGCAGACTCCATGCTGCCTGCCCAAGGGCCTGGCCTGGGCTAACCCAACCTTTTCTGTTGATGACCAAGTATCTGCTGTACTTAAAAATCATTTATTTTTCCCTTTTATCCCCAGAAAATGGAATCCTGGCCCCCATGGCTGCCATCAGAAGTGTTTCCTGCTCTCAGTTTGAAGGCTCTGTGAACTGTAGCTTGTGTCCCAATTGGCATGTATCTGTACTTGAGCTCTGTATGTGGAATGAAGGTTGGTCATCCATCCAGTCTATTACCCTTTGCTTTGTGCATTAAAAGTGCTGCAAAATCGATCTTGCCTTCCAGGAGGCCCTCTTGTGTCTTAGGGTGGTGAGGACAGAGAAAAGGGTAGACTTGACTGGTTTGGAGCTTGGCTGTAAGGAACAGAAACCCAAATGAGCACTGATGTACACTAGAACAGAAAATGTCAGGAACCGACCCACCAATGTACATGGATGACTGAATGAATGTCATCACGTAATGGACCAAAGTTGCTGGCATGTGCCTGATACTCCTGGCTTGAGCAGCTGCAGGGCAGGCTAACACCCAGTAGCTTCTTGGCTCCAATCTGACTGACTTGTGAAATATAAAAAAGAACCCTTGAGCAGATGTTTTAGGGACCTTCCCAGTTGAGGACATTCTTCTCCTATAAGGAATGGGGCTCTTTGGGACAGTTAGGGCTCACTTCCTATCAGGATGCATCCCCCAGCCCTTTGTCCTCTCCTGTACCTGAGGAGCCAAATGAGAGTGGAGATGATGACCCAGCAGGCTGGTTCTGCTAAAAATCAGAACCAGCAACAAAGTTGAGTCTTCAAGGTTGCTCTGCCATTTCATCTTAGCTCTTCATTCCTGTTCTTCACAAATATTATTTCAACCCTTCTCCACTCTTCAGTCTCCAGCCTGCCATTACCTTGCCTCACCTACTTCTCTGACTGCTTTTAATCTGTTCTCTATGCAGACTGTCTTCTTGCCAAAGGCTTACTGCTGGCATTGCTTCAGGCTCAATCCTGGACCCTCTCCTTTATCTCACTCCATTTTCTCCTCCCTGGATATCTAATTTATAAGCACATCTTCAAGTGCACCCAGTCTAGGATCACTCTTGATTTTCTCCGGCCCAGTTGTCTCTTGGGAGCTCCTAGGTCACATCTCTCACATCCCACTGCCTACTTGCCTTCAGCTCCTGGTGGTCTCTGTAACACTTCAGACTCATGTCTAAAACCAAGTTCATGACTTGGCATTTCCCCTCCTCCTCTGGTTCTTCCAGTGTTCGCTCAGTAAATGGCCCCACCCTCATTCTGTTTCAAAAGCCCAAATCTGAGGGTTGCCTCAGCCCTGCTGCCACTTTGTTTTCCCACCTCTCAACTTCCACTGGAAATTCATCATTTGTACTTCCTACTCTCAAGTCCTCCTACATCTCTCTAAGCCCACTACATCATCCTAGTCCCAGCTCAGCTGGACTCTGCTCTCATGGCCCCCACCCCTGGTTTAACTGCACCCAACCTAGTCCTCCAATTTTCCCTCTCATGCAGTTCAAAGCCTTTTTTCAAAATGCAGATCTGAAGTCTTGACCCTGCATAAATCCTTCAGTAGCTTCCCGCCATTAGAGTAAGGCCAACACTTACATGGACTATGAGATCCTGCGTGATCTGGCCCTCACATGGAATCTGCCGTCATTCCCATGTCACTTTTTTACCTTCTATGGGGGTGCTGAGTGAACTTCCATTATGGTCATTAAGGCAATCACATCAGTAGCAGTGTGTCCCTTTCCTAATGTTGACTTATGAGAAGCAGTTTTAATCCTCAGAGCCTCTGGAAATTACATAATGGTGATAAGTTTCAAAGACAGCTGATGGGGAAGAGGAAGCTTAATATTATACTCTTGCTTAGAAATGTTTAAAGTACAAAATGGAGCCTCTTTAGAGTGTGCTGGTCTTGCCTTCCATGTTTTCACCAGCAAATCAAGACACCTGCTTTCTAGAGCTCGAGGATGTTAAGTCTTGTGACTGGGCGTCACCACGACATCTACCTCAAATAGGTCATGCCTGCATGGTCTCGACAGTGCCCACAGGGTTTGTCTGACTTTAGATTCCACTTCAGCCTAGAGGTCTGTGACTACTCAGACAGCAAGACAACTCATCCTTTAAAAACGTTCAGAAGCAGTGTGCTTGCAGCAGTGTTGCTTAGCACTATGTGATGGGCGGGAAGGCAGCCCTTAATTTCAGCCAGATCCCAAAGTCTCTCTAGCCTCACCCCATACCCTGCTTTGTGAACAGAACAGCCCTTTTTGGCCTTTGTACTCACCACCCTGCCCTCCCTGCCAGGGCCTTACATGTGCTGTTCTGTCTCTTATACAAGCTGCTTCCCCACCTTCACTAGTTAACCTCCCATTTTAGAACTCGGCTCAAGCTCTACTTACTCAGGGAGCCCTTTCTCTCCACTGCACCACATCTCCCCACTCAGGCAGGTGAAACACTGTTGGATAACCCCTTCACAACACTTAGGCCACAGCAAACTTTATACGTGGGAGATTGTCTGATGACCTTTTTGCCTTCCCACTAGACTGCCAGGTCTCAGAGCAGGGACTGTGTGTCTACCCACTGTTGTCTTCCTAGCACTAGTCAGTGCCTGGCTCATGCAGATAGTTCAGTAAATGTGTTTATCAAATGGATGACTACCCAATAAGTAACAGCTTCTATTATTACTACTAAGGTCCAGGCACAAAGCTGAAAAGGCATAAATGAAAGCACAAGACATTTATGTACAAGAAGGCCTTTTAATGCAATGCTTAAACACACAGTACAACAAAATCAGTCAGTTCAAATTAACTTCAACATATTACAAAGAACTATGAAGCCTGGAGAAGGCCACTGTTGGAGCAAAAAGGCAATTCCCTGCCCAGAAAGGAAGGACACTGACCTCAAGGAGGCCTTTCTCCCCAGCCCACCTCCAGGAGCAGCAGCCACAACCACTGGGCTCTTGAAACAGCTTAGGTGCCTCAATGCAGAAGGCAGCAGCAGAGTCAAGGACAGAGCCATTCAAGGCTCCGCCTTCCCACCAAAGGAGGGCCCGGACAAAAGGCACTGGGGCTCAGACACACAGGAGACTGTGCCAAGGACAGGGCAGGGACAGCAGCTGCACACTTGGGAGTCTGCAGCCCTGGAGAACCAGCTCAACAGGCTGCTTTGGGTCAGGATTTTCTGTCTTATTCCTTTCTCCCTCCCCCCCAGGAGCTCAGACTGTTCAGATGAACTGCAGTGAGGGGGGACTGGTGAAGCTACAGGGCAGCGCTTAGGCTGGAGCACGCTTGGGGTGGGGACAAAGCCAAATGCTTTGCTGAGGGCCTGTCTGTGATCTACCAGCTGAGGCAGGGGGGAATGGGGACACTTCATGAGCTTCACACTTCAGCTCTAGTGGGGGCCTTTCTGGCGAAACAATGACATCTGTGTTTGACTACATTGAGCTTAACTTGAACAAGCAAAGCTTCTGAATGGGGTTGGGGGGCCATCAAGGGGCCGAGGAGGGTGCTTCAGAGCTCACTTGGGGCATGCTGGGTTTCAGGAGCAAGTGCAGAGGAGGCGGCCCCTGGCTTCTCTGGGTGAGGTCAGGCAGAGATTTCCTGCTGCTCTTTTGGGGTTTTAGTTCAGGTTTTGCTTCACTTCCTGCCGCAACTTCTGTGCTGGGCCATTCCTGGGCTCAATCTGTAGGAGGCTGCTGATGTCTGCAAAGCTGGATTTATAGTCCTAATAGGAGAGAGAAGAGTGTGGGAAAGGCGCCCTGACTGGGCAGGGGACAGCTGATGAGGCAGCAGAGTGTTTTCAAACCCCAGCCCACAGGCCTGCCCTATGCTAGCCTGGGCCCAGGAGGAGAGGGACAGCGGCGGATGCCGTCTCACTTTGGCTACAGTCCGGAAGAGCAACTGCTGGCAAACATCTCTGTAGTGGTGCTGAAAACTTTTGGCCAAAATCTTTTTACCTTGAGTGCCTTGTAGGCTTGAGCTCGTCTGTAAAACGCCTTCACATTCCTTCCATCCAGCCCGAGGGCATCTGTGCAATCTTTCACTGCTTCCTTATACTGCTTCAGGACCAAATAGCAGAGCGCTCTGTTGGGGAAAGGCCATTTCAGAGGCTTCATTCACTGCTTATGGGCTACCGACAGGCTGGGAGGCACTCTGAGAAGTGACCTCCAATTTGCTGAACACCCCTGCTTTGTGTTTGCTTTATATCTTTCTCAATCCTCACCACAAACCTAGTACCTCTTACAGATGAAGAGTGCTAGCTCAGAGGGACGTAGGAACTTGCCCCAGGTACCACCAGCACTGAGAGGCAGATCCTGATGCAAACCAGGGGAGCGTGCAGGACTCCAAGCCTGGACCTTGTTTCGTTCTATCACTCTGTACTTCACTCTCCTATGCTCTTGCAAGCCCTTGACAGATTACAAAATATCTACTTTAAGAAAAAACGAGGCCAGGTGTGGTGGCTCACGCCTATATTCCCAGTACTTTGGGAGGCCGAGGTGAGAGGATTGCCTGAGCTCATGGGTTCCAGACCAGCCCGGGCAACTTGGCGAGACCTCATCTCTACAATAAATCAAAAAAATTAGCTGGGTGTGGTGGTACATGCCTGTAGTTCCAGCTACTTGGAAGGCTGAGGTGGAAGGATCACCTGAACCCAGTAGGTCGAGGCTGTGGTGGCTGTGAGTGTGCCACTGCACTCCAGCCTGGGCAACAGAGTAAGACTCCAACTCAAAAAAGAAAAAACAATTACTGAACTCTAATTAATGATAGGATGCTGACATATTAGGGGTAAAATGTAAAGACATTTGCAATTAACTCTGAAATGCTTCAAAGATAATAAGGTAGATCAACAGATGGCCAAACAGTGATAAAGCAAATATGACAAAAGATTAATTGTAGAATTCAGATGGTAGGTATATGACGTTCAGTATACAAGTGTTTCAACTGTCCTATATTATGAAAATTTTCATAATAAATATTCTGCATCTGTGGGGAAAAAAGCACGTGTGTATCTTACTCCACAAGTCTATTCCTTCTCTCCAAAGACAGTCACTAAAAACAAGATGGTCAGATGTCTGGGAGCACATGATGTAAGTTCATTCATTCCGTCTCATTATTTTTAATGGGTGCAGGGTATTCACTAAGTTGAATGTACCATAATTTATTTTACCAATCCCCAGTGGGAGGTATTTTTTTGTTGTTTTCAGTTTGTAAATAAATGACACTTCAATTAACATCCTTGTGTGAGGAACTGCTGGGTCAAAAGACACATGAATTTTAAATTTTGATTGTTATTGCCAAAATACTTTCCAAAAAAGTTTCGCTCTTAAAAACAGTTGTTGACAGAGCCTGTTTTCCTACAACTGTATGCCAACCATGGGCTTTAAACTTTAATTTCTGCCAATATGGAAGAAAACAGGATCTCACTTTTAATTTCACTGCTTTAGAAATAGGTAAAGCTGAATATCTTTACATAAAGTTTTTAAAATTTTTAACTTAATAAAATCAAGTTTCTGTAACTTTTCCTTTTATGACTCCTATGAAGTTTATTTCCTCTATATAAGAATATCTTCCTGGGCCAGGTGTGGTGGCTCACACCTATAATCCTAGCACTTTGGAAGGCCGAGGACAGAGGATTGCTAGAGCCCAGGAGTTCAAGATCAGTCTGGGCAATATAGTGAGACCTTGTCTCACAAAAAAATAAGAAAATTAGCTGGATGTGGTGGCGCACACCTGTAGTCCCAGCTACTTGGGAGGGTGAGGGGGAAGAATTACCTAAGCCCAGGAGATTGAGGCTGCAGTGAGCCATAATCATGCCTCTACACTCCAGCCTGGGTGACAAAGTAAGACTCTGACCCCCCCCCCAAAAAAAGACTACCTTTCCTACCACAAGATAATTAACCCACATGTTCTAGAAGTTTTTGGCTTCACTTTTTACATTTGAAACTATGATCCACTTAGAATTTATTTTAAAATAAGAAGTGAGGTAGGATTTAGGTTTGTTTGTCTCTTGTCTAGCTAACCCAATACCACTTATTGAATAATCTCTCTTTTCCCCACACTGTATCATACACCAAGTTTTCTTATGTTATTATTCTCATATTTTCCTGACAAACTCTGGAATCATTATCATGAATTTAAAGAAGAAAATTCTACTAGTCCTTTGTGGTTGCATGAAATTTATAAATTAACTTAGAGAAAAAAACTTCTCCTTGTAGCATTTTAAAGATGTGTGACTCCAAAGTTTCTGTTCCTCTTCACTCACTTATGTTCTCTCCCAAACTCCTTTGTAATTAAAACCTTTCTGATTGGATACAATAATCATCCTATTTACCAAAGGCCAAAGGTGTTTATTTTATAAGTCAAGGTTCACACAAATTCTTCAGCACTCTTCTCTCCCACTGAGAGGCAGAGAAGTCTATGTTCTTTCCCTTGAATTGAGATGGGCTCTATGATTGCTCTGACCAACAGAGGACAAAGGAAGGGACATGATATGATTTCCAAGGCTAGGTCACAAAAGGCCTTGTAACATCCACCTTGTTCTCTGGAAATACTTGCTTTTGAAGCTTTGACCTGCCATGGGAGAAGCCAACTACTGTGAAGCCACCATGCTATAGGGAAGTTTAAGTCAGCACATGTGAAAAGGCTGGCAAAGAACAAGATGAAAGTGCCAGCTTGCTCTAGCAGGTCCATCACCCAGCCATTGGAATTATCCATCCCGGCTGCCAGACAAAATATGAAGAAGCCTTTAGAGGACTCCAGCCCCAGCTACCATCTTGCTGACCCTGCGTGAGACTTCAAATGAGAACTGCCCTTCCCAAATTCCTGACTCACAAATTACGAGCAAGATAAAATGGTTGTTGTAAGCCACTAGGTTTTAGAATCATAGTCCCTGATTTAATCTTTGAACGTACAAGAATTCTAAGGAAACTAAAATTTTCTCCTAATAGGCCCTGGCAATTTAAAGTAATAGTCAAATTTCTACAAAAGGGAGGAACCACAGGATAAGCTTCATGTACTATACAGTGACTTCTAAGGATTATATTTAAAATGATAGATGTGTAATCTTGGCCTATAAAATAAACACCCTTGGCTTTTGGTAAATGGGATGATTTTGTATGCAGTCAGAAGGTTTTAATTACAAAGGAGTCTGGGAGAGAACATAAGTGGGTAAAAAGGAACATAAGCTTTGGAGTCACAAAGACTTGGCATAACTCCCAATGCCACTGTGTATTAGTTGACTAACTCTGTACTCATTAATTCATCTTTCTGAGCCTAATTAGGTAAAATGGGATGATAACTTAACTTGAAGAGTTGTGAGTACTAAGCGAGACTCTTATGAAAGACATTTCAGGACTGGCACGTTGTAGTTGCCAGGAGCCCAGGAGTTCAAGACCACGTCTCTACAAAAAAATTTAAAAAATTAGTTGGGCATGATGGCACATGCCTGTAAGTCCCAGCTTCTTGGGAGGTTGAGGCAGAAGGATTGCCTGAGCCCAAGGGGTCCACGTTGCAGTGAACCATGACTGTGCTACTGTACTCCAGCCTGGTAACAGAGTGAGACTCTGACTCAAAAAAAAAAAAAAGACTAACCCTACAAGATATTATAAAGTAACAGTAATTAAAACAATGTGGACCAGACGTTTGCATGAAAAACAGAATTTAAACAAAACTTTGTCTCAGCTGTAGTAAAAATCCAGAAAAATGAGTTGATAGAGGTATTCAGCAGCACAAAGGTAAGTAAGGCTAAAGAGAGTCCAGAGATAGAGGAGTTAGAAGACAATGCCACGAAGACATGGGACAAGTTAGCCTAGAAGACTGAGGCACCCCTGCTCCAAACTTGCAAAATTCAGGCTTTAAAACGAAAGGCTTTCTTTTCAACTCATTTGGCAACAAAAACTGCCCTGACCTGACATGAAGCTACTTAGTTTCTTTATCCCACCCCACGTGGGAATTTAATTAAATTCAGTAAGCTGCCTCAGGCCTTGCTGAGGTGTTATACAATTCAGTATATGGACTGTATTACCTTACTTAAAGCTAAAACACATTTTATCACAAGAGTTTGGAATAAGAAACAGTGTGCCCATATAGATCCAAGATTTTTGAACAATGATATATGTATGTTGGTGGGGAAGAAGAAACAGCTATGTAACATTTTATAATAAATGTTTCATACTAAGTGCTTCTATCAGATACGATCCCTTGCTGAATGTTTCAACCTTCTGAGAGCAAAATTAACAGGAAGATCTTGTTGGAGCCAGACTCTAATTCTGACACCACTATTTACTGGCTGGGTGAGCTTAAGCAAAGCCCTTCCTTCTCTGAGCCTTAATGTTCTCAACTTTATTATTTATTTATTTATTTATTTATTTAAATCAGGGTCTCACTATCACCCAGGCTGGAGTGTACTGGCATGCTCACAACTCATTATAGCCTTTATTTCCTGGGTCCAAGTAATCTTTCTGCCTCAGCTTCCCAAGTAGCTGGGACTACAGGCATGCACCACCATGCTTGGCTCATTTTCTGATCTTCTGTAGATATGAGGTCTTGCTATGTTGCCTAGGCTGGTCTCAAACTCTGGGCTTGAGTGATCCTCCCACCTTGGCCTCCCAAAGTGATGGGATTATAGGTGTGAGCCTCTGTGTTTGGCCATGTTCTCAACTTTAAAAGAGGAAGACCACCTTCCACCTATACCTCTGAGCACTGTTGCAAAGCAGTGATTCCCGTACAATAAAGGGACGGTGTCCTGGCTCCCAGGCTCTCAGTCAGTGGTCACTGAGAGCAGCTCCTGGTGCAGGGCTTTCTTACAGGCCCACAAGTCTAAATCCTCAGGCTAGACTGCATGCACCCAGGCAATGGTTACTTCATACACTTACTTCTGAACCAGTGCTGTCAGTCAGAGATGGTGCCTAAATTTCTAACAGGAGAGCCTTGGAGAAGTCTTAGGGTAGAGAGCAGGGTTGGGGGTGGAGCGGCAAAGACTTGTGTTAAGGTTGTATCTGCATAGCAAGCACATGCTTTTACTTACACTGTATGCTTATCAAAATTCTGGTGAGAGGGGCTAACCAAGCCCAGGGTACCCTTTGGTGTCCCTCAGTTTTTACCCCTTCAAGAGAGTAAATGCCACTGGCAATGCCTGGCTTGCAGTGTGAACATATATCTTGAGCTGTAACATACTGACTAAATGCTAGGGATGAAGCACCCACCACAGTCCAAGAGACCTTGGAACAAAACATTCAATGTCCTGAAATCCCCCAGGCCAGCAAGCTGTGTAGGAGTTACCTGTTGCTGTACGTGACAGATTCCAGGTTACTAAACAAGAGGCTTTCACTGTACTTCTCAATAGCTTTCTTATGGTTTCCCTTCTTTACAAGCTCATTGCCTTCTTCCTTCAGAACTTTGGCTCTTTCCACATCCCCAGCAGAAGGCACTAGATACAAATTCAGAAGAGGAAAAAACCATGGAGCAGGTACTCAGCTGAGATCAGTGAGATCTCTTCAGCATCATCCCTTCCTAGTTCTCTATAATTCTCTCTCCCCCTAGAAGAAATCATCCTTTCTGATTGATGATTGCCTCCAACTGCCTCTGGGAAATTAAACAGTTTTCATTCAGAAGAGGTTGGGAGCTCCTGACATAAACATATTATAAATGCACACAATATCATATAGATGATAAAAAGTAACCCAGGTTCTAGCCTTGGCACTACCACTTGGTAGCTTGGAAGATCTTCTGTGACCTACCTAACTTTCCTACCAATCTCCTCACCAATACAATAGGGGTAATACTTAATCTACACATGATTACTTTCAGGGTCAAATCTGAGAATACATGAGAAAGTAAACAATACCCTATAAACTTAAAGCAGGAGAATAAGTAAGTAAATATTAACACACAAGGATCAGGTAAAGACAGGGTATAGATTCTGGGCTTTCAGAAAAGGATGGATGAGCATGTTATTCCTTAGCTCTGGGCTGAGCCTCTGAGGACCTAAACATGCAGCTCTGCTCCAGTCTTCAAGGAGAGAAGAGAGAATAAGGTGAAATCCAAGCTGCTCACCTGGTGTTCAGGCTCTTTACTGCTTGGCCCCAATTGGTTATTCCAGCCTCAGCTCCATATCACCTGGTTTTTAATTTTTAAAAACTATCCTTATAAAATAATGAGTATTTATGACCAGGGCATGGTTACAGGAATAAAATTAACACCCTGAACTCATTCCCCAGCTCAAGAAACAGAACATTACTAGGACCTTTCAATTGCTGTGGGCCCCTCCCCAATTCATGCCACCCCTGGAGGAAACTCTTATTATTATTCCCAATTCTGTGCTTTATTTTCTCTTGCTTTTCAATTCCCAATTCTGTGCTTTATTTATTCTTGCCCATAAACCATTTGTTGTTGACTTTGCTTTTGAACTTCATACAGGTGATTACATAATTCTATGTATTCTTTTACATCTTGGTTTTTCTTTCTTCTCCCTCTCAAAATTGTACTTATAAGACTCATCTGTGTTGATGCATATACTTGTTCATTCATTTTCATCGACTTGTCCATTCTCTTGTTTACGAAGAGCTGGGTTATTTTACTATCACACACATTCTGCTGAGAATGTTCCCACAATTCCCTGAGCACATGCACATAGTTTTTCTAGAAGGGGAGTCTTGGTGTGCTGCGGAGCATGCACAGCTCAGCTTCACCTGACCCTGTAGCACACCCCTCCCTGCAGTCACACTCATTCCCACTGCATACCCCACGTGATTTCATTCTCCAGCTCTCTCCACTGGCTCTGCAAAGAATTCACTTCCCTTCCCACCTGATGACCTCATTTGTCAAAGTCCAGCTCAAGCCGTCACCTCCACTGTCACCTCCTCTGAGAGCATTTCCCTGACTCTCCCAAGCACTTAAGCCAGTTCCTATTTTTACTCCCCCAGACACTAAAGGCTCTAAAGTATGTGTTCCTCCTTTGTGTTTGAAGATGCTGTCTATGTGTCTCCATCTCTCATGAGACTGAGAGCTTACTGAGGACCAAGACTGCCCCATCGTCTCTGTGTCACACTGCTTAGCACAGGGCCTGGAATACATGGCTAAGTGACAAAACAAACAGTAGGTGCACGGAAGCCACCTAGTTCACTAACACGCCACATTTTCATTCTAGAGAAGAGTGGGGAACACTTTCCAGAGTAAATGCTACCCATGACCAGATAGATGTACTCCTGGGAAGGTAACTCCTGTCCTCCCCAATACCTAGAGGCCACCAACACACAGCAGGGCTCCAGCCCAGAGCCCTTCTGCACCTCTAGTCTAAATCCCTAGCTTGCTGGGTGAGGACAATTCCCCTGGGACATTAAAAGAGCTTCCTAATGCCAGACAAACATCCTCTCCATTTTACACTGTCGAGAGCAATCTCCTGTGCTGGCTTCTCAGCTTGGATCTCCCTGCTCTTATTCCACCTTCTCCAGGGATTCACAAAGAGCATGTGCTCCTGGGGAAGCACCACTCCCTAGCTGTAGGGGTGGGGAGGGTGGCTCAGGGCTAAGCTAACCACAGCATCTCATCTGGTCACAGTGACTAGTTCAGGGAATGGCCTGTGACCAAACAGGTCGGAATAGGTTGAGAAAATATGTGAGTTAGGGATTTTGGGGAGGGGGAGGGTAGATATTCTCTCTTTTCCTAAAAGCTATATATCTATATCTATAGCTATATATAGCTTTTATATATATATAAAAGACTTTCTTCCTGAGTCATGAGGTATAGTGACAGTGTATGGATGTGAGGCCAGGAACTGTGACAGCTGTTTTACTCCTAAGAGGGAAGCCTGCCCAAAGACAAAGCTAACACACAACAGACGAGAAAGCTGAGAGAAATACAAAGAAATGGAGTCAGAGTATGTTAATGTGGTGAACTTCTGCAGCAAACCTTGTCTGAACTCTCTCTGGACTTATCAGTTATATGAGTCAATACATTCCCCATACTATTTTTACCACATTGAGTTTTCTGTTCTTATAACCAAAAACATCCTATGTGATACATCCCAAATCCACGAGAGCAAAGGGAAGGAAACTAACATCATATACCCATGTGCCAGGCCGGGAGTTTTATATGCCTGTCATTTAGTTCTTATAGCTGTGAGGTAGATTTTATCATTATCCTCACTAGACAGCTGGGAGGCAATCTTTAAGATGTTAAGACTCTTATTTAGTTGTATTTACTTTGTTTATCAGATTATTTGTATAAGTCAGCTAAACAAGGCCATTTTTTTACAGGACTACTCTAAAGAAGGTGGCTACCAGAGACTGCAAGACCCTTCGGGAAGGAGTTACAGCTCACCTCTGCTCTTTGGAGTCAGAGTTTCTTTGGGCTTGATTTTGGCTGTCTCCTCATGGTTCTCCGAGGGCGAGGAATTCCACCTCTTCTGGGCTGATGCAGGCACCAAAGGGATAGAGGGCAGCTTCAGGCGCCACTCAGGCCCAAGTGAGTCCATGAGAGCTCTGGTCATTCTGAAAGGGAAGACAGAATGGCAGGGAGGCTTCCAGGCTGGCCAAGATGACACTCCTCCTTTCATACACCCTTTCAGAACAGCTGGGGGTATCATCTTCCCCTGGTCTGAACCATCTCTTTATATTCTCCAACATGCCTGCCGCAACATAGGAACAGGAGTCTGCCACCCATAAACATTATCTCAAATTAACTACCATGACACTCCTTCTCTGGAGTTTGGTCACCCTACATTACCTTTAAAGTGGTGATCTGGGCACTTAACCCTTACCCCAAAAGACTACACATTCTCCAAGAAAGGATCACATGTTTTGTTTCATATTTTCTCAATGACAAGTACAAAGTTGTGCAAGTACCTGACATTTGTTTAACACTCAAAGACTTTTAAAAACTGCAAATCTTATTCTCAAATATGACAGCCCTTCGAGGGTTCCCGTTTCTGTAGGCTACCATGGCCTGTGAGTCTGGTTCCCTCCCTCCTCTCCCCTTTTATCATGTGCCACATTCCCTCCAGATCCTTATGTGTAAGATTCTGCTTTCTCCTCTATCCAAAACAATACCTTCCACTTTAGAAAAAGATTGCTACCTTCTACTCTGGCGAACTCCTACTTATTCTTTAGGTCTCAGCTTAAAGTGGCGCTCAGGGACCATGTCCAAGTTGTTAACTGATCTCTAACACCTAGTATATTACCTGGCAACCACTAAGGCCCAATAAGTATGTGTTGAGCAAGTGAATAAAGCCAACTGTATACTTTTTCTGCTCCTATCAGTATGTTCCTATGTTACAAGAATGAAAATCATTCAGACTGATATTACTACAGATTCAGTCTCCGACTAGGCTTTTTCCTGGTAGATTCAGCTATTTCAAACCTCTACTCTCCTCAAACCTGTTCCCTAACCTTTCTCCTTTTCAAAGCAAATCCCTTCATGCTCCAAATACCAACCTACCTGCCTGGGTACCCAATCCTTCCTATTCCTCTCCTGTCACAATGCCATTGGCCCAGGTCCTGCTGCAATGCCAGTCAGGCATATAACTGGCCTATTTTGTGGAATAATAAATATTAAAAGCTTAAGTCCTACCAAAGTAATGAAAAAAAAACTAATAAATAACAGAAGGCAAAGAGAAAACAAAGGGTGTTGGCAAACAAGTCACATCAGAAATTGAGCACTAAATGTATACCATGAAGTCCTGTTCAGGGTTTGCTATTGAGTGTGGTGTTTGGCTTTCTAGCAGCACACGCAAAGTGGGGAAACAGGATCAGTATACAAGTGACGGTATCCATGAGACACAAACAAACAACTGTTCAGAGACCAGAAAGAAATTTCACTTGAGGGTCCTCAAGGAGGGGTCATACGTAATATACTGAACCATGTTCACAAACACTATCCCTCCAGGATTGTGTCTTAGCTGCTTGGGCTTGGGTCTCATTCCCCTGGTTAGAGTTATTTCTCTGAAGACAAGAAGGGTCTGCATCTCCTTTTCATTTTGGTGCCCTCCTACCCCCTGAATCTAGCACAGCACCTTAAACAGTTCAATAAATTCTACTAAGTACAGGAATTAGCACACTTAGACCAAAAAAAAAAAAAAAATCAATCTCAGTGATTGTGATTCCTTAAACAGCTGCTAAATGCAACAGTAGATTCTCCTTCCACTTTCCCCCACAAGCCCATCAGTCATTTTCTAAATCTAACCAAAGGGATTCCAGCCCTCCTCCCCCCCCCCCCGCCCCCCGCCAAGACAACCAAACCAACAGCCAAAGCCAGTTGAGGAGGACAGGGAGACTGCCACAGTGAACAGGGCTCACCTGTTGATGCCTTCCAGGGCTGATGTCACACTATTATCAATCTGCAGCACAGTCTTATAGTCAACATAGGCCTGAGGGTACTTCTCCAGAGCCTCATAGGCAGATGCTCGCCGCAGCAAGGGCTTAATGCCGAAGGGAACCAAGGCCAGTGCTCTAGAACCAGAGGCAAAAATGTCATCTGGCTGCTGAGCCACCAGGGTTTCCCCAGTCTCTTTCAGACAGGGTCATCTGCAACACTCAGTGAACAGGAGGTAATTTCTGGCAGAGAGATACTGTTAAAAATGTCAAAGCTCAGAACAGAGACTTTTCAACTTAGAATGAAAGAGGGAGAGGAAAAGGGCAGACAGCCACTAATATTGTGAAATTTGTGGTCCCGTGCATAAATTTCCATAGTTTCAATCAAGAACAAGTGCCTCATGGCTTTCATGCTACTATTTGCTTTTAGACTTGTGGCCCAGGGGGTATAAAAAACAGGTGTTGGAGTCAAAGGAGGTGGTGTTTGAATTCCACCTGTGGTGTTCTGATAGAGATGTTGATTTTCATCCACAGTCCTTGTTACTATCTTTTGTTATAATGTTGGGATCCTTTAGGTCTCAGAAGCAGGCCTCAGGAAACAGAATTTCTGACTTTCTCCTGTCCTCCTTTCACCTGCCCCAGGCAGGACTCTAATCTGATTGTGGATCAAAAGACTATCATTCCAGAGAGTCCTGCCCCATACCCCAGAGGAAGGAATGCTGCAAAGGGAGACCAAGAAATTTCTGAACAGATAGATAGACCTTGTTGGGTTTGGACAATGTGCTTTCTGTACAATCACATTCCTATGTGGTTGTCAATAATGCCTGTGTGATGCAGCTGCCATAAAAACCCAAAAGGACAGGGTTCAGAGAGATTCCAGGCAGCTGAACACGTGGAAATTCCTGGAGGGTGGTGCACCCAGGGAGGGTATGGAAGCTTTGCGCCCTTTCCCCCATACCTCTTCCTACACATCTGTCTCTTCATTTGTGTCCTTTATAATAAATTGGTAAATGTAAGTAAGTATTTCCCTGAGATCTATGAGCCTCTCCAGCAAATTAATTGAATCCAAAGAGGATATTGTGAGAACCCCAACTTAAAATCAGAAATTTCAGAGGTTGGGACTTGGACTGATGTGTAGGGGGCAGTCTTGGGAACAGAGCCCTCAACCTGTGGGATCTGACACTATCTCCAGGTAGACAGTGTCACAATTGAACTGGGGGACATCCAGCTGGGGTCCACTGCTTGATGTGTAGGGGAAATCTCCCACATTTACTCAGAGAAGTTTTCTTCTGTGTTGATGATTGTTGCAGTGGTGATGTAAGAGCAGAGAAAAAACTTGATTTGGGAGTTTTTCCAAAGCACCACCTCTACCACTAACCATGTGACCCAGGCAAATCATTTTATCACCCTAATTCTCAGCAACCCAGTTCTGGCCTGGGAAGAAAGCACGGTAAACTTACCCCACAGATCAGTCATGAGCACTCAAAGGAGAAAATCTAGCACAAGGCCTGGTACAAATTAATCTAACACAGTTCTATGAGAATGCTCACATTCCTCTTCCTCTCTATCACCAGGGCACAAGTCTAAAGCAACATCACAGGATATCAGTTCTGAAAACACATTTAGGGCATACGTGCTAGTTTAGTGATCATAACAGAAGACAATACTAAGCTGGCTTGAAGAAGAAATATGAAAAATTGTGCAACGTCCTCTACAATTGGTCATTGATGAATACCATTTTCTTTCTCCTTGTTTCTTTTGAGACAATCTATTAACCTCTAAACCTTCTTCTTTCCTTTCCTCCTTCCCTTCCCTTCACATACCCCGATCCCAGAAAAATACCTGGGCAAGTCAGTCACTGGTCTGCAACTCTATGCCATCCCCAGGTTCCAAATCTCACAAAGACTTTAAGGCCCACCTCTAACTGCCCATCCTACTCCTTTTTCAGCAGCAAAGCCAAGGCTCCAAAGACACAGTCAAGAGCCACAAGGACCAAGTATAGCCTCCCAATCTCGGTGACCTGGTGAAACTCAGTGATACTTTCTTAACACCTGTCATAGATGTAAGTGATGGGATCCTTCCAAAGAAGAAACAAGTCAGATAAACCCAGCCTTCTCTTCTGAAACCCTCAGGCACCCCAAATACCCCTGGACACTTACGAAGTGCAATCCTTGATGCAATCTCCGCAGTTTCCATCCTTCAAGTGGCATGCTGCTCGGTTGGAGTAGAGAATACTTTCTTCTTCTGGGTCAAGAGAACCTGCCCAGGTGGAGGCAGCAAGGGTGAGAAAATCATCAAGTTGGGAAGTGAATGCCTTGGGACACTGGGATGCATTTCACACCTGGAGCTTTCTGAGCTTTGAGCAAAAGAAGTGGAGATGACTGTAACCTGATCAGGGTTTTTGGTCCAATGGGCTGGCATGTTTGTCATTCTTTTTTGGGGGGGCGGGCAGTTGGAGTCTCACACTGTCCCCCAGACTGGAGTGTAGTGGCACACTCTCAGCCACTGCAGCCTTGACCTGCTAGGCTCAGGTGATCCTTCAGCCTCAGTCTTCCAAGTAGCTGGAACTACAAGCGTGTGCCACCATGCCCAGCTGATTTTTCTTGATTTATTGTAGAGATGAGGTCTCACCAAGTTGCCCAGGCTGGTCTCCAACCCATGGGCTCAGGCAATCCTTTCACCTTGGCCTCCCAAAGTGCTGGGATTATAGGCGTGAGCCACTACACCCGGCTGTCTCATGTTTGTCATTCTTACATGACTGCAAAGACAATGAACTTTTTACCATTCACAGGAAATCAAGCACTTCCTCAATTCACTCATTCTAGCACTGAACTTGGTACCAGACAAAAGACAAGCATGAAAGAGCTGGCTTCTGCCTCAAAGAAATCCATGCTATAACTACTTGGGGGTTGGGGGTGTGTGTGTGTGTTGTAAACCCAATAGAGAAAATAATACAAAGGAAAAGAGCAATATGACAAAGAGCTTGACCAAGAGGGACAGGGACATGAAAGACAGAGACTAGTTCTACCTGATCAGGCCAGAGAAGACTTTGCCAGGAAAGTGATAACTGAGCTGGGTCTGACAGGACTACAGAGAACTTAATAAGGGGAAAGACTCAAGCTACCCAATGGGGAGGAGAATCATTAGACATTGTCCTAAAGGCAGTCCTTACCCTCAGGAATGGCAGAGGCTCAAGTCCTCAGTGTGGCCAAAATGACTTTCATTTTTAAAGATAATTTTCAACCAGGGCACAAATCTAAAGCAAAGTCACAGCAATGTGACTAGCATGGGCTTTAATTTAAAGAAGAATTGAAAACAGGCTTTTTGAAAATGTTTAAACATACAGAAGACCACATCTCAGTATCCACCACTAGATGTTAACATGTTATTATATTTGTTTCTAAACACTTGTATTTTTCATATAGCTAAAGCTTCACTCATCCCCAACCTTTTCTCTGTGGTCCCTCCTTAGACCCCTAGAGGCCAGTGCAATCTTGAAGTTGGTGTGTAACATTCTCAAGCATGTTCATCTTTATTTTATATAATATGCACACACAGGATTTATACACACACATACGTGTATAGGCAAGATAAAATATGACATGTTTATTGCCTATCCTTCTGCAACTTGCTTTTTTCACTAAGTACCATGTTACTATGTTGATATTGGATATCTTTCATTCAATACCAACAATGACAAGTTTTGTTTTCCCCTTATTTGGCTAGGCCCAGAGACAGTAAAATACATCTTTGCCCTTGAGGAACAAGTACACTCAAAACTGTAATCCACCTTGAGTCACCAGGGCATGGTTGCTCAGAAACAGCAGTGGTGTGGTGGAAAGAGTGTCAGAATGTACGATCTAGCCTGTGTACTTCAAAGTCACTCAACCCCTCTGATCATACATGCTCACCTACCACATTGAGGGTATCACTTCACAGACTTGCTGGAAGTTAGGATCCCTGCACTCTTTTCAAGATCAAGAAAACTGATCAGAGAAATCAAGAGACTTGCCCACAAATTACCTAAGAAATCAATAGCAGCAGCAGCAGAACCAAACTCTGGTCCCTGTTAAATTGAGACACCAGTCTAGCTCTTCTAGAGACTCAGAATAAACCCATACAAAAGCACAAGCTTTTCCAGGCCAGCTGGGGTGGGATGAAAGAAAAAGGCAGAAACCTCAAATTCCTCAACGATGTCATCAAGTGAGACTGACATGAGGAAGTGGGCCTAAAGAGAAGTTTTCTAGAAAAAAAAAAGAAGGGGGCAAAACAATAGCTCGAAACTGCATAAAGTACAAACAAAAAATAATGGAATTTGGAGAAGATTTGGGGAGAAGTCTAGCAAAGCAATTAAAAATTTATGCCGGGCTCGGTGGCTCAGCCTGTAATCCCGCGCCTTTGGGAGGCTGAGGTGAGTGGATTGCCTGAGCCCGTGGGTTCGAGACCCGCCTGGGCAGTGAGAACTCATCTCTACAATAAATCAAAAAATCAG